TCTGCCTGTCTGTCGGTCTGCCTGTCTGCCTGTCTGCCTGTCTGCTGTTTGTCTGTCTGTCGTATGTCGGAATACCCTGCAGGACCATATGCACAAGCCAGCTGTGCCTACGTGTTGGACGAGCGGCATGCCCTCAGCCTGTTGCTCACGCAGCGATCAGCTCCCTTCGGGTCGAAGCCTCAGGCTGCAGTTGCATTTGATTGAAGACGACGAGTCAAACTGTGTCTTTCCGATCTTACCTACCTGTTTAACCGGTAGGAATGTTGTACGGCATGAACACGCAACGAGCGAATCAATCAGACAAGCCAGGCAACACAATAGAAGCGAAACGTACGCGTCTTGTTGCTCCTGCATCCGGAACCTAGATAAATGCATGAAGCGAGGCACAGCATGTGCAATCTAACGCAGGACACGGGGCCAGGTTCTATTTGGGTGAACAAAAAGCTCCTCGAAAAAACAGAGAATGAGCGAGAGAAGAACCAACCGCATGCACGTCGAGGGGAAACGGAGGGAAACAAAAAGGGGAAACGACTCGCTGCTTAGTTTTGCATTTGCAGTGTCTCCTGCGATGTCGTTTCTCTTCGCATCTCTCCCCTAGTTGCATAATCTTATGCTCGGTGATACAGGGCTCTCGCATCGCATGACCTTCCGATGTAGGGCTTGCGCCACTTGACTCATTTCGACGACCATCTGTTGTTGTTTCCACATGCCTGGTTGGTGAGTAGTCAGGGAGATATCCTGTAGTCACGCGTTAAGGCCTGTTGGTGCTCTCACTTTCGGGGTTTAGTGGTTCTTCCGAGGCTTGTCCAAAGGCTGGTTTAACGATCCTAGATGATTTTTGTGCCCTTGCATTGCGAGACTCTTGATGATGGCACGGCAGAAAGAGAGACAGAGAGAGAGAGAGAGAGAGAGAGAGAGAGAGAGAGCGAGAGAGCGAGAGACCGAGAGAGAGCGAGAGAGAGCGAGAGAGAGCGAGAGAGAGCGAGAGAGAGCGAGAGAGAGCGAGAGAGAGCGAGAGAGTCTATCGAGATTCTAAGTTTGAGGGTTTGTTGGGAACCTTCGCGTGGGCCACCGTTGATTATCAACCAGACCATGTGCAACTGCGGCAGAGAGGCTACCTGCAGGAAGCGAAGCCACTTACACAAACTACATCAGCCAAACGCAGCGAGGTGAAGGCACGGTGAAGTCCATTCTCCTGCATTAGCTGTCATCACCAGCTTCTATGAAAAGACTTTTCAGGATTGTGCTTTTCAATGGCACAGTTTTCTCTAGTGAAGAACAGTTTGTAACCCTGTGTCCGACCGCGGCGGCCACTTTGGGAAGGGTATAACTGTTTGTGGCTGTTTGCCGTAGAGGCAATGCAATATGCTGTTCTTACGCGGGGTGTAAAGTGTAAAGAGATTGGGTTAGCATGGCCACGAAGCGAGTGACCGCAAAGGCTTCCGACAAGTGGCTCCCGCTGTTGTGTGGTGTCCGTGTCCTACTGTGTGTAGAAGGTCCGGCCATGTCTTGTGGTCTGGTGTTCTCTTGTTTGTCTCCTGGTTGGTCTCCTTGTGGTCTCTTGGTGGTCGGGGTGGTCCTCGCGGTCGTGGTCGTCTTAGTAGTCATGGCCACGATGGTGGGCCTTGTCACTGTTTGGGGAGTTACGCTGGCAACATCGATGTAAATCGTGTCGCGCAGAGGCCTGCGCTTTTTCAGCGCTGTTGAGCGTGCATCCTTTACTTGTTACATAGTGAATCCGCATCCTTTTGTAGTCTGCTGTCGCGAGTGTGCGAAGCCCTCCACTGAAGACAACATCCAGATGAAGCGAGACCAGCCGAAAACTGCTAGGTGGCTTGGTGGTCCGATCGACCAGGATTGAGGGTCGTGACGACGGCAGTTTCACATTGCTTTCGCGCTGGAGTTCACGCGGCACTCGAACATGCGTGTGTAAAACATGTCGCTCGGTGTGTCGCCGACTGGGTGTCATTTACGCCGTTACGCCAGTTGGTATCCATTGAGCACATCAGCAGTTGCGGGAAGCAGTTGCCTTCGCAGCTGATCGGCTCAAGTCTACCGCCTTCCCGCTTGGCGACTGACGATCGCCACTACTTCCAAGGCTCGGTCCTCTGAGGCATAAGCAGTCTTCTTTCTGGGTGTGCGTGAGATAAAGGGGCTTCTGAAATAAATCAGGGGTGATGACGTTGTTATGGGGACCCCCTTTCATTTTCGGAGAATAGATGCCAACCCGTTCGGCTAAGGCTGCCCAGATGGACTTCACAGGTGTCAAGCACCTTGGCCGACTTAGCTTCGTGGGCAGCTTGCCCTTGGCATGACGCCTTTGCCTTGTGCAAGGAAAGGCCTGCGCCTCCATGCAGAGGCCCCTCGGCTTCATTTCGGAGCATCGGCGCGCACCTGAGATCTTCCGTCCATCGACAGCCATTCAACTCCCAAGGCCGAAGGACAGTTCTGGGCCGCGGAAGTGGCTTGGCACGGCGTTACTGCCATACTTCTTGCAAGACTTCGATGTCGCCTTTTTGAGGTTCTCGCGGTGAACCTTAAGAAGGGCAGGCCGGTCAAGGCGCAGCTGCACTGTTCGATAGGCAATGCCTTCTCCCGCATCACCGACATGATCCTCGTAGTCGTAGGCATCACCAGCATTACCACCCTCGACACCTTCACCATCACCGCCATCATCACGAATATCCTCCCCATCGCCAACACCGCGACCACCGTAGCGTCGTGAACATGCGATACCCGATGTCGTCGTATTCTGACAAGCACCCAAACAACCACCCGACGGAACTTATGCCCACCGGAGGTGCGCTTCCTCGGCTACCACAGCCAATACGACGAGTGGCTGGGTGCCGACCGCCTCCGCTCCAAGGCCATTGTGCCACTCAAGGAGAAGGACAGGCGGAAAGTCGAAGAGACCATTGGCCAACCTCGCCCCGTTGTGCTTATCCTCCTTTGCTATTTCAATCATGTCACCGGCTGCGGCACCACACTTTAATGCGCTGTGTCTCGAGTGTTTTTGCCAGGAGGTCCCCAAGGCAAGGTGGGGATGTGCGGCAAATCAAGAGCTGACTTCTTTAGAACTTTAGAGCCTTGTTTGACAAGAGGGAAGTGGAGCCTTCTGACTTGCAGAAACTTCGAAATCACAGCTTGAGGATCTGCTTCTCCAGGCCCTTTTCGGCTCCGCCATGCCGCCATTCGCGAAGAAGTGCCTCCTCGCTGGGTACTTGGAGTCGACCAAGGACTGCATGCTAGTTGCATCACTTCGCACGGCATAAGTCCATTTGCGTTTTTGCGAGTCTGCTGCAGGGGTGCACCAACAAGATGCGGTGGGCCCTTCCACACGAGAGCGGCTGCGCTCGCTACTCGTTGCCTGTTTTGCCGGACGACAGGCCCCGCTAAGTTGGGTTGCTGCGCTCGCGACCGTGGTCAATCGCAGGGAGTCTGAGACATCGGCCTTCCTTGCGGGCATCCTCATCCAGGACTGAGCTTCGCAGCTGAGCCTCAACCACCCCGGATGGCCTGCAGCCAAGCTCGCATGGAGGAGATTATTTGGCAGCGGCGTGACCCCACCTCAGCAAATCCAGCAGCCGTCAGATTGCAAAAACGTTCTATAAGACTTTGGTTGCACTTTCGAGCTCACCTTCTGCGGAATCTGACTAGCTTTCCCTGAGGCCTCGAGCCTTGTTCTCTATGGGCCCCAGAAGATCTGTGCCTTGGCTTCGATTCCGCTACACCTGCAGTGCTCCTTGTGCCTTTAGGATTTTGGGACAAACGCTTAAATTGACAGGCCAATTCCTGGAGAAGTGCTTCTCCGCTGGAGGCAAAGAGGGCTCGAAAAATGGCTGCGGTTTGTGGGATGTTTGGGAGTCGTGATCGGAGCAGCTGCCAGGAGCTTACGAATTTGAGGTGAAATCCGTGGCCAACTCAGCTCGGATGTGACCTTGAAACGTTCCTGCAGCTTCCATGGAGAAAGTGCCCGAGCACAGGCTTGCGGCACACCGGACAAGCCTTTCGAGGCTGGACTTGTTTGAACATACGCTCGGCTGCTGATGATGGTGTTATGTGCATGAGGTAAAAGTTGTTCAAGATGAGTCCGATTTGCCAGCTGCGTTCGGCGCACCGGAGGTGCCCCTTGCAAATCCGTAATTAGGACAAAGGTTTATTGCAGGATTGATTCTGCTGTGGCAGGTCTGCGGGAAGGACTTTGATCTAGGCCAGAAGTGGCCCTTTGCGAACATGGCCACCCTTCTTTCTTTGTCCCAACAGGTGATGGCGAGACGGCGGCCGAGAAGAATAAGGATATCGTGTCCTCGAAAGATGCGGAGAGGGCCCATGCCTCAGCCCCATGCCTAACTTAAGACACTTCGGGCTTGGGCTTTTAGGGCTGTGCCGACCTCAACCTTGAGGTATTCCTTCCAGGAAATTGGGTTCTACGCAGTAGTTCAAAAAGCCAACGTTTCTTCGCCATGGCTGGCCTCGCTAGCTACTGCATATCAGACCGCGCAGATGCCAATATAGGGTATCCTGGTATCCTGTGAGGTAACATGAGCATAGACGGCTTGATAACTGCGGACACGCTGGAGGCTCCGACGCTCCTGACATCGCCACCCAGGCAAAAGGCGCATAGGTCAGCGGGGCTGGCGGGTGACCCTCGCATATAAACTAGTGCGTTATAGTATGATGTACCTACTATCGGAATCCTTTAGCATATGAGTCACCCGTCAGTCAGCAGCGGCCGGGAAGGGTGGGGCGGGAGAGTTTGGTTCGAGGTTGTCAATCCCAAAGAGGGCTTGCAGGTTCAAACGCAGGCCGTCGGGTCTTTCGAACCATATGTCACTTTGTGAGTGTAGCAGAAGCCAGACAGTTGGAAGCATCGTTGTCCTCACACCCTTAGGGTACAGCATTAATTAGGAATCGCAGCGCAAACCATCCCTAGTCCTTGTTCCAAGTTTCTGGCGTTCACCATATACAACCCAAAGCCGCCATACCAGGACCACGTTCCAATGCCGGCGCCAGTGGCCAAACCTTCGCAGGCCACTGTGCCACTCAAGGTCTTGGGATGGTTTTGGGTTTGGGACGGGCGCGGGGGCGTGGTAGGCTGGTGGTTCAGAGGTTCGGGATCGTGCTTTGTGGTTATTGTTGGTTTGGGATGCCATAGGTTCAATCTAGGTACCTAGTTGCAGCGGAAGTCTTTGCTGGCCAGGCTTGTGTCTACAATTGCCATCAGGATTTTCCAAAGCCTCTGACAACTTCATCCAGGGAGCGGCAGATCGTAGTCTTGTAGTGTCAGGCTGCCAGTCCGTCCCTGGAAATGAAGCCATACATGTAACAATGGTAGCAGGCGGGCGAGGAGTAGGCATTGAGAAGCTGCGCAGTGAGCGTAGTGATGGTACGTTACTTTAGCTCGCGAGTTGCCAGGCACCTCCGGCGCAACCAGCTGCACCCCCCAAGGCCAGCATCATTTTCATGCCGCTTACCCCGAACTACCCGAAACGCTGACAGAAAGTTGCGCTAGCAAGAGTTGATGCGCGGCCGCACGTTGACTCATGCAGTTATCACGACGTCGTCGTTGGTGTTTCCTCTGGTGGTAGCAAGGTGGTAGCAATAGAACAATTCACATGCACATGCGGTGCCAGCCAGCATCAACAAAAGCCAACGGCACGACACACAAAATAGTAGAAGTGCCTGGAAGAAGATAGCCGTAACGGCGGCAGCATGTCATCAACTTGAACAGTGAATAACAGCAGAATAACAACGACAATAATAAGCATGATGCCGCTAACACTCCTAACTATAGTGATCGCACAGGCACCACATGCGTGGCCAATATCGGCAGTCTACGGACTGTTATGCAACAGAAGAACTCAGCTGGAGCGGAATAGTGCGAAGTCTAAGAGTGACGATGCTGAGTATCCCGTAGAAGGCAACGCCCCTTTTTCTTTCTGGTCACTACAGTAAGGTCCTTGAAGACACGGGGATTCTTTATAGTCTATGTGTAGTCGTGTTGACCTCATGACTTTCATCAAATGGCAGGCGCCTCCGGCTCAGCTCGCCCCAGTTTCCCAGGCCGGAATGGAGATAGCAGAGAGCGGTCATGCGTGATTCCGGTATTCTTCTAAGCCGCGCTGACTACAGCGAGAAGCCTGGCTTCGTCGCGTTGATATACCGTCGAGATGAATTCCTGTCAGGAGTCCTTCTCGCCTCCTGCAGTGACAACTCCGGAGGCACCGCGCACATGCAACAACAAATCCCTTCGAGCTGGTTTTGGAACTGGCTCTACTTAGAGACTCTTGCGGTGCATGTGGCCCACATAATGGTGAGAACTGCGGTTAAAACAAAACAGTATCTGAGAAGCATTCGATGTTTTTCATCTCTTCGCAGCCAATCTCTCCGCAGCAAAACTTCGGGTGAGAGAGAGAGAGAGAGAGCAAAACTTCGGGTCCTTTGTTTGCGGTGCGCTTGAAGTGCACTTGGTCGGAGTGTTGAGATAAAAGAATGCAACATGGCATCTGTGAACCGGAGACGGCACCATTACAAGGAGACTAGCTAGGACGAAGTTGGATGTGTAGCATCATCGTCTTGAAATGCCGATCTTGTTGATCACATTTCGAGAAGGCCACGTTGCGTGTTTGCGCGTGTTTGCTGGTGTCTGCAGGACGATGATGCTCTCGAGAGAACTCTTGCCGAGAAGGAGGTGCTGGCGGCTGTTTAAGCTGACATGGCCCGTAGAAAGCCAGAAGCTTGACTCCCAACCTCTTCATCTCGTAGCCTCGTGCGGTGGTTCTCTTCGGCTGCAGAGACGATAGCCGATGCAGGAGAGCACGCGCCTGGAGGAGGAGAAGCTGCGGAGGGAGGTGCATGCAACTCACTTCTCCGTCTGTCCGAGTACTTGCCGCTGTGTTTGGCGCCGCAAAGACCATTTTGGGTTCTGCATGTCGGCCGGAGTGTTGTGCACCGTAGACGGCGCTGTTACAAGATCTCAGAAGAGTATAGTTACAACCAGAGGTGAAATTCATGTGTACTTCGGCGTCATCATCTTACAATGGATGGCCTCTGAAGTAAACCCAAAGCTCCGAGTTTCCACACCGTGGGTTCCAAGGATGGTCTGCGTATTCGTAGCCACAGCGATCATTACTGTTACGCACGATGCCGTGTTCTGTGGACTTGAAGTAAACCTTACGTGAATTGATAATGCAGTTTCAGGCGTCAGGGAATGGGAAGTTTCATGCGAAGGTGTCCGCTTCATAGTTAGACGCGGTTGGAACGCATGCGCCGGCCCCAACCAAGAACAACCTTCGTGAGAAGGCTACCTGCTGTCCTGCGGACAGGCGTCCAGACTCAAGGTGCCCTTCCCGCCTTCCAAGGCGCGGCCGCAGGAGAAGGCCGAACAGGTCAGCGCTCCTACGACACATTCGTACATATTTGTTGTTACGCGCACAGGCGAAGCGCCAGGAAGCCCTTGAGGTGCGCCAAAGCTGCTCCTCTGCAACAGGATCACATTGTAACCTACATATTACTACCATTGTCTTCATCATTTAACTACTAGATGAGTAGTGTTACTGATATCATCCACCATCCTTTGCCGCCCCCCCAACCCCACTGGCGATAACTAGTGTTACTGTCAGTGTCCCAATGATTCTTATCATTAGTATTGCTATTATTTCCCCACTGGCGATTGCTCTGAGGAGCCCTGGAACTGGGCCGCGCCAGGCTCCTGGCAAAGGCGGCAGCGCCCTTGGTGCTGGGCCCGTCAGACCGGCAGCTCCAACAGGACGAGCATATCACAGTTGCCATCCAGAGATGTTCCTGCAGGAGTTCAAGTGTTTTGTCCACTATGATGAAATCCCTGCCGCCGTCTGTGTCTGTGCTTGTGTTCGTGTGCTTGTGTGTATTTTTGGTTGTTTGTTTGCCTCGCTCCGCTACGTGCCAGACTTGCCTCGGCAGACGCTTGCGACAAATCATAGGGCGCCTCTTCGCGCGTGGTTTCCCAGACAGGAGCATGATCGGCGGGCGCGCGTGCAGGAGCTCCGCAGATCTGGGCAGGCGACCCGTCAAGAGCCAAATAAATCTCAGAGAATCCAAAGCCTGAGCGCGAAAGGGTTTATGAAAGGGTTGTCAACTGAGTATGTAAGAAATACTCTGAAGGTTTTATGAGAGTTGCCACGTATAGCAGCTGAACCTCGATCAACCCCTGCGGTCTGGGAGGAGCGCCGTGCGGTGGAGAAGGCTGAGAAGCAGAAGGACCTGCTACACAAGCTTTCCCAGCCTCGTTGACGTCGTGTACATCGGGTGGAGTTTGATCTAGCTTTTCAAACCTAGCAAACCCCTGCTTGCGGCCGGGTCGAGGATGACGACCACCGCCGGCAGCAGCGCAAGGCCGAGAAGCTGGTTCAGCAGCGGCTCGGCCCTGAAATATTGGATGACTTTACGAAGGCGAGATTTGACAATTGCAAACTCTCAATCACAGCCGACAGTAGCGAACAGAAGCATGAACTACAAAATGCGTGCTGTGGATTGGCTTGAACCGTTTTGCTGACACGACGACCATTCCGCACCATGTCTCCAGCGCCCGAGGAAATTGAAAATGATAGATTGCAGCCAGGACGAGGAAAGGCAGCAGCAGCAGCAGCAACAACCTTCGTTGAACGAACCAGGCCATGCTCTGTCGAAGAGTTTTGACATCGCTATCTGCAATGTGGGCACCATGAACCATGCCAAGGAACTCTTGTTTGGTTCGTATACTGGCAGCAACTTGCAGAGTGTGACAAACATTATGTCGAGGCCCTTTAGGTAAGCCTTAACATCATGAGAACATTCGCAGACATGTACTTGGCGCTGGTGCTTCCGGGGTTGCTTCGATTCGCCCGTAGCCGAAGCCCTCCCAGGGTGTTTGTTGCAGCCTTGGAGGCGTTTGTACCCGAGATCACTGGGCTCAAAGATGGTTCCGCTAAAAGACCCGGGAGCGGTCACAGCTTAGTGCAAGCCCCAAGTGCCCAGGACGATCAAGTACTGCAAGGACCTCTTGCAGTCCAAGGTGGAAAAGAAGAAGGAGGCGCCCAAGCCAGCCGAAGCAGCTTGAGTGGGTGCCGCTAGACAGTGCGCACCTTTCAAAGGCTATCGAAGCCTTTGCTAGTATTGCAAAGATGAGGACTGGTGCGGCATCCCAAAGACCCAGTGGGCATGATCACGGCAACCATTGTAATGGTTGGCTTTAAACCAGTTGTGCTGCAAATCACTGCCAACACACATCAAGCACGGCCTGTAGTGTTGCTATCGCTGTTTGCCTGTCATCCGTTCTCATACTCGAGCGACATTCGCTGGTAGTAAGCTCATGCGAGAATTAACGACGACCCCCGACACAAAGGCGCCTTTTTTGCAAGATACCTCTAGACTTGTTATCCTGGAGGTCGCATGCAACAACATCCCAGACGGTGCGCAGATCCTTCTGCGCAAGGCCTGCGGGGGGCTACCTTCGAAACTCTGTTCCTAAAGTAAAACTGTACTGCAAGCCATCAGGAACTCCCCATGAAGAATCCCAGATCGGAAATCTGAGTGTTCATTGCTCTCAAGCAATCTGGTTTCTCGGCGCTGGGTAAGTAGGTGCCAGGTTTGGTGCTGCACCTGCCAGGAAGATCGAGACGAGGAGTTCTACTGCCCTCCTATCAAGGCCAAATCTGGCAACAAGGGCAAGAGCAAGAACAAAGGCCGGGAAGCCAGCCGTCTTACAGAGCGGATGTACATGGACAGGTCAGCCGTAAGCCCGTGGCCATGGACTTTGCACTAGGAGTAGCTATCCGGAACGCAAAGATCAAGGCAACAAGCATGTCGTGATGTCGCTTCAACTTTCTAACCGCAGACCCACACATTCGTAAAAGAAGACCCTCCCGCTGTTCATTCAGGAAAACGGCATCCATCCCTCGTCGCCAGGTAGCGATCCACGGCCCGAGAAACTCACCCACAGTGCCTCGATCATGCGCTACACGGCCGAACTTCACGATTTCCGATGCTAAGTTTGAGGTTTCGGCGGGGTATCAGAGCATTGATTCTTGGAAGGCCCGCAACGGGTTTGGAAGCCGTGTGGCTATGTTGTCTTATCATGAGCGCCTCTGGCTTCCTGGTTTGCAACGCAAGATTCGAACTGCGTGCTTGCACATTGTAATCCTTAAGCGGCTGGCTGTGATGACCCTATAGTCACCACAGTGGTTCTGTGAGGGCACTGAATGTTTTTATTTGGCTTCGAACTTCAGTATCGACATCTGCGAACGCTGACACTATCCTCACACTCTTGACACGAAACGTGTTCCAATGCCGGATCCGATGTCGCACGAAGGGCGCAGTGAACAAGGCTCTCGTCAAAATAAGACACTGGATTACACGGTACCCAATTAAAACTTTGTTGCGACGGAGTACTGGTAGCTGTGCTATCGACTGAAACATTTTTTGCTGCCGACCTTGCCTCGCTTGTGCGAGCGTGAGTGTCCAGAAATCTGTTGCAACGACGATTTCCGAGGCCTCTTTCATCAGCTGAACATCGATGCACCGCTCTCCATGGATCAGGCCTTGGGAGCTTTGGGACTTGAAAACTGAATAGTGTGAGTATGATTGCACGCTTATGACAACTATTCGTATTGGCATTAGAAGATACTGCAAATCACTGTTTAATTGATGGTGTCATGCTTTTAATTTTAGATGATCGGCAACTGTTACTGTGCAGTGCCTGCTCTGTCTTCAGGATGCATGTCATCGACGGTCAACTCTGAGCACCCTCATACGCAACAGTTGTGAAAGGATCCGGGGACTTAGAAAACATAGGTTTGAGTTCGCTTTATACCACTGCGGCTTGATGTAGACAGCCACAGCTGCCAGACCAACATTACTTTCAACTCCATGACCGAATCTGTCTTCGGCTACTCTTATGGCATTGATGACAGAGAACTGTGAGCCAGCAAGAAGCAGAGTTGCGAAGAGGTGTCTTCACTTTCCGAGGGAAGGCTGTCTGACCTGCTTTCCGTCAGGTGCCAGGTTTGCTGGACGAGTTGGAGAAGCAGCTTGGCGGCGATTTGCGTAGGGTTTGTGGCACAGGAATCCCTGGAGCACCGGGCTTCGCGATGTTGCGAGTAGGGACGACGGGGAGCTTTCTTGCGAGACGGGAAGGTTTCCCGATGTTTTCAAGTTCGATCGGTCACAGCTTCTCTGCAGATTGTGCTCTGAGGTTGCTGCTGTCTTAAAAGCCGAAAGTCCTTTGTGGTACATTGTCGATGTCTTTTTCGTCTAGCTGCTCTGCACCCCAAAGAAGCTGAGGCGACTTGCCGAGTTGCAGTCGGAATGAGAAGCGAAGCACGAGGACAGTCACTCATGAGCTTTTGGTTCACAGCTTTGGAGTTGAGGGTGTCGGACGATTGCCACGTTAAGATGTCGGAGGGTAGGGACCATAGCCTTGGACATTCCCTGCTACATTGTGCGTCCTTCGTGCTTCCGCTCTGCGGCAAAGTACCGCCTCGTGCACCCCGCTCAAAGCTAGCCTTGGGGAGTGTGAATTCAATGCGATTGGGAAAAAAAAGCTGTTATTGCAAGGATTTGCTAGACATGTCCTCAAGACCCAATATTCCGCATGCACAGTTGCCCTCTAAAGACTAGAGACCGCGAGTTTCGGGGCTCTGCTTCGGGGTCTAGTCGCCTCGAGGGGCTTTCGATGGCTTTGAGTTTTGGGGGCTTTCGATGGGGCATCGTGCAGAGCTTGCGTTTGTCCTGAATTGCTGACGGTGCCAAAAACTGCTACGAGACGACGCGCTGCTGCAGGGGCCTCTCCCGACTTGCGCTCGGATGAGTTGTTGAGGCATGTCTGCTCACCCAATCTGTTCATCAAGGTTTCGGTTCAAGAGGCTGAGCGGGACTTGTTTGAAGTTGTTACCGGCACGCTGGCCATGATTGTGTCTGTGCCGACCCAAGTTTTCTGCACTGAATCCATCACGGGTCACACTGTTGACGACGCTCAGCCAGAGTGTGTCAATGGGCCTTTCAGTAGAAGAAGCTGCAAACATCCTTTTAGATCGTCCAGCTTGAACGTTGGGCGCGGCCTCTTGCACTGAATGTCGGCAGCCTCTTTTGCCATGTGGCCTGCAAGATGGACCTGCAGTTGCAGACGTGTTCAGCACTACCGCGACTTGGAGAACACAGTAATCATGCGGATTCCGTCCTACGGATGAATTGTTTTGTGATGCATGATGCTTTTATCGCAACATGTTGTCTTGGGGTTTCTTTGCGGGGCTGTCCGGGCTTGAGGTGTGACATTTCGTTTCCTTTAGCTTTAAAAGGTTTTGGGTTGTTTACGGTTTCGGGCCAATCGTCCTACGATCACTGCGCAGATGGCCGACAACATGGTCACCTTTTTTGGGGGTTCAGGACTTAGCAGCATCCTTTCAACTTCAAAGCTTCGCCCAAGCCCATGAAGGATCCATGTTCCTGAAGGGGTCGTAGTCGAGAGCCTTTGCAGTTCAACGTTGCAGGGTATGTGCGTGTTGTATTTCGGATGCTTGAGTTTGAGCTGGGTACCCGGGATTATTCCGCCTTGAGGGTCAGGTTTGCTCGCGGCTTCGGGCAACAGGTGTAGCACCCGCGGTTTGGGAATTGTCGAGATGGGCACTCTTGGTTGGAGTAGCATGTCGGAAGGTGGTTTGACCTGTCAATCTTCACGGATTCTAGCCGATTCTAGCCATCACCAGAAGAGCTTCGGTGCCCCGTTGAGCTGAACTGAGTCTGGTGGTTCAGCTCACCACATACGCGGGCCTTTCTGTGCCAGATTCTGAGATGCGTCGTTGAGCCTTAAAACTAAAAAAAAGTTGATGAACTCCAATGAGATCCGGAGCCCTTCTTTCTAAAACCCTGAGTGCAACTAAACACCAAACCACGTTGAATCTCCGGCGATGACGGTCAAGCACCTTAAAGCCTCAAACCCCGCACCCCCAAAGCCTGCGTCGAGTGCGAGTGACCAAACACATTACATGCCCTGAAGCGCTTCAAACACAAACATCACAAGCCGAGTGCCAACTCGAATCCCATGCCCTACAAGACCGTAAGACCTCAACCCCTAATACGTTTAAATGACGCCAAGACCATAAATTTCCATGCAGTGTAGCAACCTGCATGTCTGCTAGGCGGCGCCGGCATCCATCAAAGGCCTGCCTCTCACGCCGGGGCCTCGGGCTGCAGCTGGCAGTTAGAGTAGGGAACATGTGTTAAAAAAGGGAGTAAGCGGAGGCTGTGTAGAGAAGAACCGTTTAGACCTTAAGCCCGAAGCCCAGCATTCCTCACTTGACCGCACTGTGCTATCATCAAGTCCTCAAGCTGTTTCTTCACGACCGCTTCCGACACGCCTCAGTTGCAATCAACTCGACTAACATTCTTCGGGCTGCACGCGTATCTTGGAACTCCCACCGTGATTTCCACGATGAAAGCCAGAACAACCCAAGCCGCAAGGACTCTTCATTGGAAGAAGTTTCAGTGGTTCAATGAGGCTGCAGCAAGTCCAGTTAGGGCCCCTTTGTGATCTACTGTACATTCTACCACGTTCTTCAAGACTTGAAGCTTCGAAACAGCCCATAGCCAAATTACATCTATGCCGGTACACCGTACTTAGACTTAGACCCGAATGCCCCAAAGCCTTAAGCCCAGAAGTTCTCGAAGCATTTTCCGCTCCACATTCCAGACAGCCCAAGGTTTAGCTTTTGCATATAATGTTTCTACTTGTTTTGAGACGTCGCACCAGGGACTGTCAGCCGCCGGCCTGTCCTGAAGAAACCCACCGTTCCGAAGGAGGCTGTTTTGCGCCATGACCCTGTACATAGTTGTACATGTCACAAGGCTGACGGTTTTTGCGAGATGTGAATTTCTGAAAGCCAGGGAACCATAATATGCAGACCCGAAATAGTAGGATTCTTATAACAATGAGCCGCCCAGAAAAAAAAACGAAGTTGAAGCAGCCTCCTGAGATGTTTAGGACTTCAACGACATTGGGGGCAGGGGGCAAGGCCTGGAGTCTAAGCATCTAACGTACTCCTCCCAGAAGCTGACCGGCCAAAACAAGGTAAAGTGGCCGGGAGGTTTAGGGTTTACCTTAACCCTGAATAACCTACCTTTTTAGTAGGGTTCCTTATTATGATTTCCTAGCTACGAGTACCAATAGAACAAGGAGAAACACACGAACAGAAACACTTGGCAGCCCCGAACCCTCAGCCTATAAGTACCCTTTAGAAAGACTTCCCTGCACAGGGGGCCTTGTAAAAGTGACTAGCTGATAGCTCGGACAGGGCGTAAGTGGAGGGCTAAGTAAGCCACAGAGTGTGCTGCTGCAGTGTTCAGAAGCTTCAGTGTCCCCAGAAACTCCAAAACCTAATTGAGGAACAATCCCGTACGGATTGCACAGGGCGTATGTGTCACCCTTCGGATGAGGGCCCTCCCTTGGCCAAGAGGGCTGCGGCTCGGGGCCGGAGCCGAAGGAATCTCTGCATCATCGCCGCTGTGTTTGCCAAAGAAGATCGAGGATCCAGCTTCTGCATCGTTGCTGATGTGAAGCGTTGTCAAGAACATCGCCCCCTTTGCCCAAAGAATAGGTTTGAGGCAGCCGGGCATCTCCGCAGCAAGATACACAACTAAGTACAGGCTTTGTTGATGCTTGGCCGTCAGACCAAACCCTAAGCTTCCTTTTGGTAAGCTGAGGTGTCATCCTGTCTCTCGACTCCTTCCGTTCTATGCCCTTGAAGCAGTCAGCCTCAACCCCCACACCCAGCCTAGCTAACCCCGAACCCCTCCGAAAAAGGGAGGAGGACGTTGTGGGAACCTATGGATTTAAAGTTTTGTATTATCAAATCCCCTTCTCAAATATTTTTAAAATAAAAAATATATAAGTATATATATATATATACTTTTTTAATTTATTTATTTTATGTATTTATTTTATGAAGTTACATATTGTGTATATATATATATATATATATATATAGGCGATCGCCTACGTCGGTACCCTTATGGATATAACCCTAGCAAAAGTTATCAGAAAACTAAAGCTGCACAACATTCTATAAACCACTATCTAGACTATAGCGTACTTTAAAGATTTCAGGGCTATTGGTTATATATGTAAATGCCACAGGTGTAACTATAGGTTGGAATGGATAAAACTCTTCTTGCAGCTGTATCTGAGACAAATATACATGTACGTAGGCGGGTATGTGTCCATACCAGGCAACCCGTCTCCCATAAATGTCTAAGAAATGGGAGTTAAGTGTAACTTGTTCGGGTTCTTACTCCAAGGGATCCTATGCTTTTGGGGCCTATATTAAAGTACCTTATGATCGTGAACTCTAAAAACCCCTAAGCCTTTTACATGACGCACCCCTCCCAGACTTGGTTCCCCAGCAACCTGGGAGAAACAACTAACACCCTTCTTGGTTTAGCTACGTTTATAACGGATCCCGAAACCCACCAAAAGGAAACAAGGGGATTACTTTGCATCCCAGAAGATCAAAGCTCTTGCGGGCAAAGAACCTAAGATCCTAATCCAAGGTTAAGGAACTTACAGGACAAGGATCCTAGAACCAAGTACTGGTATCCTAAAACAGAGTAAACACACCAATATGCTACAGGAATGTATTTGGCTTTTTAAATGGAAGTGTGTATCTCTATATAATATTGATACATAAAAAATGCTTATACGTGCGCACTTTCCTTTTGATTTATGTTTATCGTTTTACGGAGTTGAAATGCATAAAAGATTGAATACAACAAAAATATACATCTATGTGTACATATATAAATATATTCTGTACATATATACATATTTACATATATATGTATATATACACACACACATATATATAGAGAGTATATGTATATGTATATGTATATGTATGTGTATGTGTATGTGTATGTGTATATATATACATATATATATATATAGATAGAGCTATGTATGTATATATTCGAGTGGCCAAGAAGAAGAGTCCATACTTTATTGCGAAGCCCCGACATGGGACCCACACCCCCAAAACCCAAAGTCCAAGGGCTTGCTGAAAGGGCCAGACGCAGTACAGAGTGCCAGACGACTCGTACATCAAATCCTACATCCAAACCTCCAAGGCTAACCTAGCAAACCCACAGATTCCAGCCGCGCGGACGAGAATATACTTATTTGCACTCATAACTGTATGTAACAAGTAGCCCTAGATCGACATATGCATGAACACATATGAATGTAAAGAAAATACATGTAAACAGAACAAACATGTATGTATCAATGTATGTATGGCCATGGAAATATTAAAATTATATTGTATATTGGATTTCAATCTTCCCAGGCCCCCAGACCCAATTGACAGCATAGACTCCTGTTTCTCAATAATTTTAATGCTGGGCATTCAGGGTTATGAGGCAGCAATCACATCATGATTCCTTGTGCATGCCCTAAGAGCCCCTGTGCCGTTGCCGAATCCCTCGAAACACATCCAGCCACGACAGCTGAAGTTATCGTCCATTTGAGTCGCCCAAGCCTGGCCTCAATCCGCTATCAATTGGGGAGGGACATTAGCAGTGCTTTTATGCCTTGTCCATTTCGGAAGCAGCAAGAAGCAATGGCACACATGGTGTTTCTGCTGTGGTTGGGGCTGGTTGGGCCGGTGGATGCGCTTCCGCCGCATCCACCGTGCCCAGCTGGGCCTCTGGGAGTGTCACATGCGAGTCCCGCCGAAATTAGCTCTACCGCGGCAGCGCGTGCAAGCACCACACTTCATGCAGGATTTAGGCTCATGGGGTGAGTCCCGAGGTGTATGGTCAGAAACGGGTGGCAGGTTGATGCTCTACTTCTTCAGAGAGAGCTGTTGCTCTTGGACGAGGTGCTGCGTGGTTCTGTTTGTTTGCCGCAGCAGGGTTTTGTAGGTTGGAAGCAGTCTTCTGAGAGGTGCCATGGTAGGGATGCGATGCGGTGGCGAGTCTTTCAGGCTGTTCGATCCAGCGCAGAGGATGTTTTCGGAAGGGAGCCTTGCGCGCCTCAACTAACGGTGGTCGACTCCAAGCCGCATCCACTGCTGGCTGTGTCGGTGATTGAGAGCCGTGCTTCGGTTGCTGTGTATTGAGAATAGTGGATGCAAGCGAGCTGCTGTTCTATGTGAGGAACACGTATACTGGCTGCCAAAAGTCCTTGCTGTTCCAATATTGCTGGTTCTCGTTCTCCGTGGGCTTTGCCGCAGCCTGGCCGCGAAGAGCATTTCAGCAACTGAGACTGGCGGTAATCTGTTTTCAGTGACACAGCGGCGTGTTTGCATTGGCCGAAGCTAGGTGCCAGGCAGCGCCACGCAGCTCCGCAGCTTGCACAGGCCACCGCGAACCTTTACAGTAGCTAGACTTGCGGGTGGCCTTGTTTTGCAATTGGCGCGTGCGCTTTTGCAATGAGTTGTTCATGTCGGCAACTGTTCTGTAGCGACCAAGTCGATGGGTTTTTGCCCTAAACCTTCTTAATCAAGTCGCGGTCAGGCTGGGGCACGAGGATCGCTTGGGCGAGGACACCTCGCTCAGCCGAGTTTTCAGGCTCAGTCTGTACGAAGGTCAAACAATGCTAAAGCTTTCAAAGTTGTGTGGGCTTGCTAGGACTGGGCTACCGTTTACCAGTGCGTTTGGGGTTTGGGCAACCGGCTGTGCTTTGAGCGGGGAGCACACACTCGCAGTGGAGACGATAGGTCAGGGGAGCGGCTAGGCCCCCCCCCTAATTTTGAAGAGTATTTTTGGGGGAAATTGTTATTTGAAAACTGGGTTCTCTGCGGCTCGGGGCCCGGCCTTCCAACCCACGCCCCGGCTTTAGATACTCCCCCCCCCTCCTAATTCTGAGTATTGGCCCCGGTTTTCGGGGGCATTTCCTTAATATTTCAAAATTACGGGGGGGTTTTAGTAATTGGAGGAGGGGATTAGGTGTGGGGGTTGATGGACAGCCAGATGGACTTACTCATACATTGCCTGCAACCGAGAGTCAGGCACCTTGCCATAAGCCTGGCTTCGTGATGGGATGGGTTTTTCCTGCCCTCTATCGTCTCTCATCATTAGTGACTGTTTAAGGAGACCTACCTTTCGCTTGCCTAGAAGTTCCGCGCGTGCACAGCCCTGGAAACTGCCATGCGTCTTCATGCAGCCACTGGAAGGTGAGTCCGGATTTGGACTTGGAGGTGCCCACCCGTCATGACCAGATGACACAAATTCTTTGGAAGTGAATGGATTGGCTGATCGTGCAGGTGGGTCTGCTTCAGCTTTCCGAAGCGGATAAACTGCGGAGGAACGTGTGGGCTTTGCCAGAGCCTTGGTGGGCCAGAGCGGGCATACTTTGGAACAGCTATGCTGGAGCCTGAGGAATCACCAGCAGCAACAACTCCAGGAGCGAAGACGGGACGACCTGAGGCTGTGTCAACAATGTTTCAGGCTTCACGTGACGTGATTTTCAGTTTTGTTGTTGCAGGGCCTGCCAGAAGCTTGGCAAACGTTTTCAGTGTGCAAACCAAAGCCTGCAGCACGTCAAGCAGGCGCGCAGCCAGCGTAGCCACTGCCAACTTGCATAAACTGTTGCAGCCTTGGCTTCAAAACGATACGCAGGCTGACACGCTCATCCTCCAAGATTCTGCTCCCATGCCAGTGGAAGCAGCTTGCAGGCTTGGCTTCGTGGAGTGGTTGAGCCACAACTGCCACTGCAGGGGCTGAATCCTTTGCCCTGTCGTGCTACTTCGAGTCTATCCTCGGCTAACCTACTGTTGTGGACATCTTTCGACCTGCAGATTGTCACCCTTCCAGTTTGCAAAGTATGCCCGGCACAGCCAGCACAGGGAGGTTCCAAGGCCAACGTAGCTGGCAGGCAGGCGATGCTGCGGCGGTTCTCCTCCTCGACGCAGCCATCTAGCCCAGGCCCAGAGCAGCACTGCAAATCGGAGTCTTTGCGCATATCATGAACCTTGATCGTGGATGTCCAATGATCAGAGCGGTCAGCTTAGATGGTCGTATTCATGTGATCAATGGTGAGCTGACTGACTAGAATCACGCAGTTTCCCAACAGAACAGCTGACCTGCTGAAGGGCCACAGCCAAATCATGTGCAGGATTTCTATGCGCTGTCAAAGCCGTCGGCGGTCGGCTTACACATTGCACATTAGGCTGAAGTTCCCACGTTTCGCTCTTGTCCTTCACTTCCCAGGCGGGTTGACCTTCGAAGTCCTGCTCGGGCACAGTTCAAATGGAAAGAACAACAATGTTCTTTACATTGATTTGTGCGGGACAGTTCCCAAGATAGGAGCTGGACGGCCTGTGCCTCAGTGAGCTCGTGTCTCTGCATGAATTCAAGCATGCTTGCTGCCCAGGCGTCTCCACGAGCATGTGCTGAGCATTGTCGCCGCCTTACCTGTAAGCTCCGAATGTTGGATTTAGCTTAGCCCTGCACTCGTGCCTCGCAGGCCAAACAGCAGGGCTGCGGCATTTCCATGCTCCGCTCGCTTGACAGTGCGCGGACATTTTGGTCCGAGCTTGGGCTCGGGGCTTGATGATGATCATGGACTTGACGAGTCCGGAAATATCCACATGCAGAGGTGCTGCAATTCAGATTGACAGACAGCGATGAACAACTCAAGACATGAAAGTTGCACGGCACTCCTGCCACTTCTCCATACACAAAAGCACCAGTGATAAAAGCCTTGGAAACAAGTCCATCATTATTGAGAATTTCCCTTGCAGAAGGCGCTGGCTCCGGAAAGGCACCCACTAACTCACGAAGATCAGCAAAGGTCACAGCTCCGTGCATAGGACAGCGAGAAGCGACCGTGCCAGCAGGGTTTCTGGGGACCGTCAGCAGATCTAATCTAATCCAGTGAACTCTAAGAAAGCTGACTTGGTTTGCAAGCTCAACATCATGCGAAATATCAACTACAGTTGGCACGGACGACTCAAAAAGTGTAGATCCAGAGCGATTCAGCCTCTCATTTGTACTTTCTGTCAAAAATTCCCTTTAGAATTGGCAATCAGGGCACACATGCGCACACACGCAGACTGAGGTACAGAGAGTGGAGCGAGGGGGGAACTCAAGGCCAGCGCGTGGCCGAGGACGAGCACCGCGTGCCATCTTTCGAGTTGGCCTGCGCAACTTCACATGTGCAGGAGATTGGCGCCCGTCCTTGGCTTCAAGATGCGGATGAGCTGACTCGTATGTTTTGCATTTTGTGATGCGGACCTGGTCAATGCACCATTGTTTCGAAAAAATCCATTCCGCAAGTATCATTGTGAATCTCTTGGGAGCCTTCGAACAGATCCTACCCGTAAGCCCCAATGTTGAAGCTGCATGAGCCCTCAACCCTAAACCCTAGACCCTAGACCCTAAAACCTAGACCTTAAACCCTAGACCCTGGACCCTAGACCCTGAACTCTCTAAACTCTTTAAACTCTCGAAACTCTCTAAACCCTAAACCCTAGCTTGGCTCTCATTCGAGCTTCAAAAAACCAGTATATACACCTTGGGGCTCTGCTCGCAGCTGGGTTTAGGGGTTTAGGGTTGAGGGTTTATGCAAGACATCGTGCAGATCCAATAGTCCAGAAGCACTCGACTTGTGGAGCCACTACGTCATAACAATAGTAAATTAACATAAACAGCCATATTGCGATCCACTGTTGATTCCCTATAAACTGTTCAAGCACACTGGCAAAAGCAGCTGACATAAGCCAAGAAGCAACATCCACGCTACTCGTTGCGTCTGTAATGAAAACTTTAGGTATTCGGGGCTGCAAATATGACAAAGAAAGCCTCGTCTGCGACATTGACAACAATTGAGCGGCACAGGCACCCGCACGTATCGTCAAACTATGCAGCGTGTACTTCGCAATGTCTGTGTGGAAACCCTTCACGAAAGACATTTGTTTACGCCGTTGCCGGAGAGTCTGCACCACTCGGACTCGTGACTGTAACTCAAGCACTGCTGAGGGTGTAGGGTTTAGGGTTTAGGTGACCCTAATTCCGATGAAAGCAGACGCGCCCAAAACCCTTTCATGCTTCACCTAAACCCTAAACCCTTCTCAACCCTAAAAACCCTAAACCCTTAAAACTTAAAAACCTAAACCCTGAACCCTAAGCCCGAAGGGTGGCCAGAGACCCTCCTATCCTAAATCCTACATGTCGTGGTGCTCCCCCTGGAAATATTAAGCCTCAATATTTTATATTAGGGTTTAGTATTTTTATGTTTCGGCTATGGGGGGGCGCTGTGGAAAGCTTTAAACCCATAGGTTCCCACAGCGTCCCCTTCCCCCGAAAAAAAGCCACACTCATCTGAATGCACGCTTTGGAGTGTGGGTTCTAGCGATGTTTTACATGCTCGGGAAGCATTGTGGGCTTGTGTTAAGGGTGTGGGGTTCTTTACGAACTGGATTCCAGAGCTCAGGCAATCAAGGGTTTAGGGTTCTGCCCTTTTCTACCCCTCTGAATGCTTTAACCTTTGAAGCCAATGCCACAGGGTTTTGTACGGGTATGGGGAAGGGGTTCGTTTGCAATTGTCGGTCTCAGAAGTCAGACACAACAGAATAAAGGACTGGATTTGTGAGGGCAACCGGCCCTGAGCACTTGGACTTAGAATACGAAGTTATTCAAGCCTCCTGAAAGGTCAGTGCCCGAGACTCAATCATTGGATCAGGAAGGTGAGAGACAGAGGCATTGCTGAAACTCACCTTTATGTCAAGCCTGGAACATACCACCGTCGGACGCAAGACCACCACAGATACCCTCAACTGCATAAGCTTCCTATGGAAGGCCTATTCTGAAAGGCTGTCATTTCTACAGACATTGGCAGCTGCAGGAATAGTCGCTTCCGCTTCTGCTGCCGTGACGGCTTAATCTTGGGATAGCTTGGGCAACCCACGCAGCTGCAGATTTGTGCAGATCTCAGCCTGACAGTTGGCGCAGCGGAAGTGGCTGTGAGAGAGGGAGATAGAGAGAGAGAGAGAGAGAGAGAGAGACAGAGAGTACGTGCCCGCGCGCGTGTGTGTGTGTGTGTGTGTGTTTGTGTTTGGCTGTGAGCAGTTTTCTCTTCATGAGATTGCGAGGCCGACGAAGCCCTGGCTGTGACTGAGGCGCGAGCAGGAGCCTCACATGCACTCAAGCGACTGTGATTGTCAACTGTAGGTTCGCCATGGTGGAATACCTCAAAGTCGGCATGCGTCTCGATGCGGTGTACAAGGATGATGGCGACTTGGTTTCATGATGTCAGGTTAGGTCCGGGTTTGGCCTCTAGCCGGGATCCCAGGCAAATATCATCGGGCCACCATTGCCGGCATCAACCCAAAGAAGAAGAAAGCTCCTGTCAAGGCCGGGCCCGAAAACATGATTTTAAGAGCAAGCCTCCCGTTCTCCCCCGTCGTCAGGTGCACTACATTGCCAAGAAAGCCGATGCCTGGGTGTCTTTGGACATGATCAAGTTCAAGGTGCCAACGCCTTCCATGCAATTGCTGCATGTTCACGCTTTGCGCCCCCCAGGCCTTGCCGAAGGAGCCCGAAAGCGAGGCGGGGTGGCTTCGAGAAAGACCTGGCCACTCGAGAGCTTTGCAGTTTTAAGTGGGGCCTTCCAATTTGGGAGTTTCCGAAAATGCGGGACCTTAATAAAGTACCCTAAATAGTAGGATCCGTATTATAGGGACCCCAAAATAAGGTACCCCTAATTTTCGGAAACTCCCATTTCCTCAACTCCGTATGTGCAGCTTGACGATCCTGCTTCTCCAGGCCCCCTTCGGTGCCACGATTCCCATCATGGCAAGAAAGTACCTGCTGGTGAAGGCTAAGGTGGCCCGAAGCCACACCGTCCTTTGAGCTGTTTGTTCCTGTTAGCTCCTTGTGCCAGGTCTATGCTCGTCTCGACCCAGGCTTCAGACAAATGCCGGCAGAGAATTGTGGCTTCTGGTAGCCGCGAGAGCATGCTTTCCAGGCATTTGCCCCTTCTTTCTTGCGGAGGAAAAGTACCTGGCGGCAAGCAAGGACTGCGTTCTGGGCTCGTCGCTCCGCGCGTTTGAACTCAGTTTGCCTTTGGCGAGTCTGCTGCAGGAGTCCACCGAGAAGATAACATGGGCAATTGCGCACGAGGGCGGCTGTGCCCGCTCCTCTCTGCCCGTTTTACCGGACGACAGGTCCGATTCAGTTGGGCTGCTGTGCCTGCAACTGTGGCCAATCGCAGGGAGTCCGACACCTCCGCATACCTGGCGGGTGTCGTCATCCAGGACTGAGCTTCGCAGCTGAGCCTCAACCACCCCGCAGGGCCCCTAAGCTCGCTTGGAGGAGATGGTGTCGCATCGACCTGACCACACCTCAGCAAACCCAGTAGCAATGTACGCTGCCAGTTGACAAACCATCTCGATTGTGAAATCTTAAGGCTTCGAGCCTGATCCTCTGCGGGCCCTCGCGGATTTGTGGCTCGGCTTCGATTTCACTAGTATATACCGACAATACTCCATAGGGCCAGTTGTGACAGGCAAGTTCCTGGAGAAGTGCTTCTCGGTGGGAGGCAAGAGGGCTTCAAAACTGGTTGCAGATGCGGGGGAGCTGGGAGGCGTGAACGGAGTCGCCGGCAGGAGCTTATGAATACGCTGCGAGGTCCCTTCCTATCGTAACTCGGCTGCTAATTGCCTTCGCAATCTGATGCGCCTCCGTTTTCAAACTTAAAAACACCCGAGCACAGGCCCGTGGCACACCGGACAAGCCTTTCGAGGCTGGACGTGTTAGGACACGAGCCCGTCGAGTGCTGATGCTGGTGTTCTGGGCATGAGGTGAACATCGTTCAAGATGAGTCCGATCTGCCGCCTGCTTTCGACGCAAAGGAGGTGCTCCTTGCAAGTCCGTATCCTTGGGCAAAGGTTTATTGCCGGATGCGGGTCTGCGGCAAGGACGCGAGACGTGGCCATCTTGCCTTCGATGTAGGCCAGAGTGGGTGAGCGAGTATTTTCGGTTGCTCTTTTGTCATCAAGGGCATGCGGCGTCGGCTTTGCAGCGACGTACATAGGTGGCATCAAGACCGCGGCCGGGAAGGAGTGCTCGAAAGACGGGGAGTGCGTCCATGCCTCAGTTGATGATCGAGAAGGTGTGTCGACAGAAATTAGGTGCGCATCTCGTACGTTCACATCAAACGAACTCGAACCATAGTGAGAGGCATAGAGGGAGGTTCTTGCTCGTGGTTTGAGTTTTCTTGCCAGGAGGTCTCCAAGGAGGAGGATGCTTCTCTCCCGTTCGGTGCCACCATGCCTCCGTTGGCCAAAAAATTGTTGGTTGACGCATACCTTAAGGCAACCAAGGACTGCATGCTGGGCTCGTCGCTGCGCGCGCTTTAACTCAGTTTGCCCATGGCGAGTCTGCTGCAGGAATGCACCAAAAAGATCCAGTGGGCACTTTGTCACGAGAACGGCTGCCTCCGGTACTCTCTACCCGTTTTCCCGGAAGAGAGGCCGCGCTCAGCTTGATTGCCGTGCCTTCCCTTGTGGTCAAGCGCAGGGAGTCTGACACGTCGGCCTACCTGGTGGGCGTCCTCATCGAGGACTGACTTTCGCAGCTGAGCCTCAGCCACCTCGCAGCTCAGCTCGTGTTCAGGAGATGATCTGGCAGCGACGTGTCCCCAACTCAGCAAATCCAGTAGCCGCCAATCGCAGAAATTGTAACTTGGAATTCTGTTTCGAGCTCAAATCCCTGAGGCTTCGAGCCTCATACTCCGTGGGCCCCCAAAGATCTGTGACTTGGTTCCGATTTCGCTATGCCTGCAGTGTTCCTTATGCAGGATTTTCGTGCCAGCGCTGAAATGTTGTTAGGCCAGTTCCTTCAGAAGTCGTATTCGGTCGGAGGCCGTGCTCCGGCGGGAAGATTTAGGAGTCGGGTTGTGATCGGAGTGGCTGACAGGCGCTTACGAATACTTGGTAAAGCCCATGGCCCATGCGGCTCGGCTGCCTTCTGAAGTTTCTGAAGTTCCCAGATCCAGACCGAACTTCCTTTGTACAAGTGCCCGAGCACAGGCCCGTGGCACACCGGACAAGCCTTTCGAGGCTGGACTTGTTTGGACATGAGCCCGTCGATGGCTGATAATGGTGTTCTGGGCAAGAGGTGAAGATCGTTCAAGATGAATCCGACCTGCCACCTGCTTTCGACGCAAAGGCGGTGCCCCTTGCAAGTCCGGGCTTGGGTCTCCAGGGCTTTGGCACACGCAACCTTGAGGTATTCTTTCTGCATAGTTGCGCCAGGGCACAAGGGTTTACACGTTATATTGATTAAAGAATCCTAGCTTTCTTATGGCTTCCCGGGCTGATGGCTACCAGGCCCAGGATACCGAGGCATCCTGGCATTCTGTGGAGGTGAGCCAGTCGAGAGCCTTCAAACTCGGGAAGTGGGAATTCTGCACAGTGCTGCTGGGTGTGGGTCTGCATCAAAACTTCAAGTACCAAGTGTAGAGAGGCTATTGTTTCTGATGTTGCAAGGTCCACGGCTGGAGCTTGCAACGGAGCTTCCAGGTTGCGCCAAGCTCCAATGCATAACCTGAACCTACTCTTCAAAGCCATGGGCGATCCTCTTTCATACAAACCTTCAAGCAGTCTCGAACATGCATGCCCAAGCCTCCAACCTGCTGGAGGCTCCGACGCTCCTGACCTCGCCTCCCAGGCAAAAGGCGCATAGGTCAGCGGGGCTGTCTGGTGACCCTCGCACATGAAATAGCGCTTACTATTACTGTATGTACATATACGATCAGAATCACTTAGCTAAGCCTTCGAGTCACCCGACAGTCAGCAGCGGCCGGGAACGGGGTGGCGGGAGACTGGGCTTGGGGGTGTTGCGTTTTGGAGCCTAGGAAGGGGTCGCGTGTGAATGAACTTGGGGTATCAGTATCAGGTATTGAACTTGCTTTGGACAGCAAAGGCTCCTGAAGACTCTTGCGGAACATGCGATCGATCACCAACAGTAGAGTGAAGCAGTCGAGGTTTTCTTTTTGCTTCCTCTACGTTGGTCGCATGTGAGACCAGAACTCGACATTCGACACCTCGGGTCGTTTCTTTGAGTTGTGCTTGGAATGCACGTGGCAGCGTCAAAGACCTTCTTCGATTCAGCACGTTGGTCGGAGTGTTGAACTAGAAGCAGAATAGTGACGAGGGCTTACAAAAAGCAGGGTGTGTAGCATCACCGTCTCCGAATTCCTAACTAATTGTTCAAGCATCTCCAGGAGGTCGCATCTCGCATGTGTGCTGCTTTCAGGAAGAAGCTGCTCGCGAAAGGATCCTTGCAGAGGAACAGGCGCTGCTGAGTGGCCCGGAGTAGCATGAGCAGCAAATTCCGAACCTCGTGTCGCGTAGACTCGTGCGGTGGCCCCATGCGGTTGCAAGTAGCTGTAGCCGATGCAGGAGAAGGCACGTGCAGAGGAGGAGCGCCAGCGCAGGGAGGTGCCATGACAGCCTGCAGTCGGCCATAGTCGACCGGAGTGCCAAGGAAACATGCAAGCTTGTACTTGGTCGAAATCAGTGCAATCAAACGGCGGGGTGAAACTGCAAATTCAACCCGAGGTATCGAATTTGAGATGCAAGTTCATTTCTACATGTCCGTAGAACTTGTGCGTCTGTTGTAGCAAGTCTGATCGCTGTGTCTACCAATGTGTAGACCACCTCTGAATGTGAGGTGTCCAGAATGCGGATGATGTAAGCAAATGATGCAACACATCTATCTCGCCTCTCGTCGTAGCTATGCTTCTAGGATCTCGTATACGTCGTAAGCTTGCCCTTAGTCGTGCACAGAAGGCTACCTGTTGTCCTGCGGGCAGGCGAAGCGCTTGAACGTGCGCCTGCCTTGCCCGCCTCCCAAGGCACCGCCACCCGTAAAGGCCGGGTTTGTAGATGCGACATTTCCTGTTGCCCTGCAGAAGAAGAAGGGGAGAACAAAAGCAAGACAGAGAGGGAGAGCAACTGAGGGAGAAGGAGTGGGGCAGCGAGGGGTAACGTCTGCTGGAATGTTTTCCACTGGCGATAGTTTCACGCCGACCTCTCGCGCTGGACGCTGGACAGATAGGCCTCAGTCAATGAAGGGCGGGGGGCAATACCCCCGCCTTACGTCTGCAGCAAGCAAGTGGCGAAGAAGAGACGGGTCTGGGTGTTGAGCATTGTTTGTGTACTTCCAGACTGCCGACATGGACACAGAACCTTCGATTCAATGAAGCTCGAGCCAACGACTCTTGTCAGAGGTTTGTGGGTATCACTAAACAGGTATAATCAACTGCCATGTGAACCGCAAGTCTAAACCTTGCCCAGAGAGTCTGCATCCTTGAATCCGGGGCTGCAGATCCTCGTAGGATTTGAACTTTTCTGAACCACGGTATTTCGTGCTGCATGTGTGTCTTGATCTCAACGTTAGTGCAGAACACTTGAGACAGCGCGACCACGAGACGGCAGAAGCCCATGCTGCCCGATTGCTGGAGCCCCGGCAAAAGCGCGATAACAAGATGGGGCCGATGGCGGAGCCCCTGCCAATAGCCAATGACCCGTCATGGTGGAAACGGTGGCCACCGGCGGGGCCTGGAGCAAGTCGAAGTCATGCTCGTCACAGAGTCCGAGGAGAGACAGAACCCAATGGTTTAGGGTTTAGGGAGCCTGTGGAAAAAGGGATCTGAAAACATGTGCAGTGTGAACAGGCTCTGCAGACAGACCGAATCATAAGACGAACTTGTCATGCCCAGCCGCTGGCCTGGGAGTTCGGATGGGACGATGGCGCAGCGCAAGTCAAAGAGAAGCTGCTGGTTTGAAGTTCCTCGGAGATGAGTGGTCGGATGTTTGCTCTCGATGCCATGCTGAGTGAGTTGCTCTACCCAAATCTCCAAGAAGAGCACCTCCAGGCTTACCCGTAGAACATCTTGTGATTTTCTGAACTCCCTGTGACGTCTTCGTTGACATTGCTCCAGATGAGACAAACGTTCGAGTGTATTGGTGCCGTTTTGCGGCCACGAGGGCAGTGTTTCATCTCATTCGCAGACTTGCTGGCACCTGATGGCTGGCAAGCATCTGCTCAGCAGCCGGACTACAGCATGGGTGGCTTCTACCTTGTCTCTCAGGAGGTACCGAGGCAGTACGTTGCATGTTGACACATGCAGGCAGGACAAGCATATTAAAATCAGGGTCTATTTGTGCTTGCCCGTAAAGCTTGAATCGATGCCTATGCTTGGCCAGAGCAGGAAAAGGTCCGCGGCCGGTTTGTCGTGAGGGTCTCGTGTCTTGCATGGCAAGAGAGACCTGTGTCATGAACAGCAGTGCTCCAGGCCGGCGGCGAGCCACTGGGTGAGCGGGAGGAAGCGCTGCAGATGCGCTTAGGCTGCTCATCTGAAACGGGATCACCATCCTCTTACCTTTGGTTAGTAGGGAATGGGGGAATATTGATAGCTACTAGGAAACGGGAGCACCATCCTCTGCCCCTTTCCTTTACTTGCAGTTGCTTTCTGAGGACGGCTGGAGCAGAGCCGGGCATGGCTGCAGGAGAAGGACAAAGCTCACGGCTGCTGTAGGTGGAGCTGGCAGAGTCGTTCCTGTCATTCAAGTGTTTTCCATTAACTGCATTATGATGCCGAAGAGTCTCAACGGGCGGGATTGGCTTGCAAATCTATGCCCGCTGTTGAAGCTGGACATCCGGCTCATCCGTTGCTTGTCCATATGTGTGGGGATGTGTGTCAGTGTCCTGTCTGTTTGTCTGTCAGTCTGTGTCGCTCCACTTCGTGCCAGACCGCCGATGTCTGGTGTCGGACACAGGCCTCGTACATGTGGTTTCCCAGACAGGAGCGACAGCACCGGGCCTGCAAGCCGGAGCTCCACGAAGCTGGCCAGGCGACCTGTCAAGCGTTAGGGGACAGAATCCAAAGAACCCAAATCCTAAGCACGAAGCGTTTCTACTTGACATTGCTATACGGCATCTTTTACGACTGAGAAGCAGAAGGAGCTGCTGCGAAGCTTTCTCAGCGTTATATTGAACTCGTGCACATGGTGTGGAGTTTGGTCCAATAGGTGTTCGGGAGGGGTTTGGCAAGGGAAAGGAAACCTCTAGGAATCTAAGAGCACAGTGAGTCTGCACTTTTCACCAGGCCCAGAAGCCGCGCAAGGCCGAGAAGCTGGATGAGCAGCGGCCCGGTCCTGAAACGTTGGATGACTGTGCGACGGTGAGACTTGATATCTGCAAATTGTCAAGCACACCAAGCAGTAGCGAACGGGAAAAACATGAAAACACACTGGCACTTACAACATGTCATCCGCTTCCTTTTTCCTTGGCAGCCCAAACCGACTGGTGGACACGACTACCAGCCTCTCGGCACCGTGGCTCCACCACCCATTGAAAAAGTAGTTAATAGCCTGGACGATACAGGGCAACAGCAGCAGCAGAAATGCTCGCATACGCGTCATCGCAACAAGAACACTGATAGTGATGTCAAGATGCGAACATGTTCTTCGCATCCAATGCAATCTGCACGAACCGAGGTAACAAGAACACAACCTGGTTGTAGTGAGACCTAGGTGAACTAGACCATGCTCTTGTAAAGATGGTCAGCATAGATTTGACGTTCGGTTCCTTTACTGACAGCAAAATATTCAGCCGGACGGAAAGCGTTTCGAAGAGCATGAGATAAGCCCTAACATCATGAGAACGCAGCCGCTTTTATCTCATGAGGTTTCAGTCAGTCAGCTTTGTAGCTGGCCATGCAGTTGATTCTGCAAGTAGCGTTTCTCGTTTCGGGAGCAATGGGGCTTGAAGCCCCGTGCGAGGCCGGCCCATACGGGGTCAGCTTCGCGCGTCTTGACCTGATATTGGCATCATGGGTTTGTGTTTTCAACTCAAGTTCTATGTTGTGGCGATCAGGGTGACATCGGTGCAGTGCTATTATGGGTGCATCGAAGATCTGCTGATTTGTTCGATACTACACCTTGCTATGATGATTGCTTTTTGTGACTCCCCAATTGCCCCATCTCATTGCATGCTGCACTTCACTGATGAATACGTCATGTTGCTATCGTTCGTGCCATCCCGAGGTGTTTGGTGAGACGAGGCTACACCTTGGATGCTTCGCTTGTCGAGCGGATGGAGCAAGAGCTGCTTGGTCTACCTGGTACAAGACGCACGTTGCATTGTCCGTTTGGTTTGAAGGCATCGGACCTTGGCTAACTGTTCATTCCTGAAAGTTAGCAGCTACCAGAAGCAATGCTATTCGCCGTGGGCCCGGTTCGGATACAATGAAATGGTGAGCACCTTGTATGATGACATGACGTGGTGGAAATCCAGCGACACTCAACGCACGTGCATCCACAACAAGTGCAAGACCAAAGGTAGGCCATGGGGGTGGGGGGGGACAAGTCGGGTTGTGCAAGAAGGCCCAATGCTTTTGGGGATACGCGGGGTGCAGAGGTTGCTCATGCGAGGTTTGTTGCTTAAGGTGAGCTGCGTGCTTTCTTCATGCTTCCACACCAAGACCGTATTTCTCGAGAGCAGTTCTTGCGGACCCTGTCAAGGCTCCTTTCGGCACGGATGCCCTGCGCTTACTGTTACGTCCGGTCATGTCCTTCTCGCGCGGCCTGCCCTTCCGAGGCAGCTGGCAAACGCGGAAGCACGCCAAGATCGCAAGGAAGCGCTGATGCTGCTCGATGGCATGTGTTTCTTGTGATTAAATACAGTCTACAGTAGCGACGCTTTGGCAATAGGAGTGCCTGCATTAGGCCATTCTTTTTGCCCCAAGCCTTTCTGAGCAGCCTTTACATGTTGTACTCGCCGTTACTCGCGCGCTCTGAGGCACCACGAGCCCAAGCCGTCAGGGCCTCTTGCCGGCACAGGAAGTGATGTGCTTTTCACGGCCAATTTGGTCACCACCACGAGCGACAACAGTAGTATCTAGCAAACACATCAATGATTACAGCAACTGGTCATACTTTGCATGTCTCAGGGGCATGCCTCGTCCTGCCACGCGCAGCCTTCGTGGACAGTGTCTTGGCATAAATCTGACCCGGAATGTTGCAGTTGCCGAGGCGGGGGTTTGGTTCAGTCTCTCGGCTTGTTCCCGAGGCAGCATGTGCGCGAGCAGCGCCGTGCAGAACATCGTCCGTCGCGTGCGATTGGCTCTGTAAGCATCATGCTCTTCGGATGGAGACAGAATCGCTTGTGTACGGAGTCCATGACCTGAAGGGTGCTGCCCCTGAGGAAACGAGCAGACGCTCTGGGCCCGATGAACAGGGCTGCGCGACAGTCTTTGGCGACGGCACGTTACTTTGTGCCCTGGCTTGTCACTATTGCATCCTGCGCATGGTCAAGCAAAACATCAGCATCGGAGGAATGTGTTGGTGTTCGTGTTGCTGCTGTTCTTGTTGTTGTTGGCTCCGCCGGAGCGTAAACGCGAGCCACCTCGGTCCTCTCGGAGAGGCCAAAACCACTGCATTCATCATGCACCCCGTTTTTGCCGCTCGTATGAAAACATTCGATCACCGCAGCATCCATTCGCTAGTGCATTCGGTTGTCGAATTGGTCCATGCCGGCGCTCTGCATCCGTGTACCAGAGCACCCATGCCTGAGCCATGGTATCGTCCACTCACAGTGCTGCTTGCAAATTTGGAGAGAACCATGCCATGACCAGAAGCTGTAACTAGCCAACAGTTTGCAAACCCCCTACCCAGAGCTAGCCTGCCACGAGCGCGAGGCCGAAACCCTTGGCAAGATGAGCCACAACAACGTGGTGAAACTCCTCACCGCGTTCAGTGACGGCAACAACTTCTGGCTCATCACCCGCCACGCCGGCCTGGCTTTGCCACACGCGCCGAAGCTGCCCACCGTCTTCGAGGCGAAGCCTTATAAACCCACACCTAAACCATAAACCAGCACCATCCAACACACTTGCCCTACACCCTTTCTTAAACCTAAAGCCACTAAAGCCTTCCACCCACATTCCAGCCGCCGAACACCCTACCCAGTGCTTGCAGGCCACAACCGCTTAGTGCGGAGTGGCAAGGTAACAAGTTCCTAAACTTAAATCCCTCGTCTCAAACTTGGATTCCCTCGTCTCGGCACGAAGCGCCGTAATCTAAGCCCCGTGGGCGTGTTAACAGGAACTGTTGTGTGTTAAGGTCTAGCCTGCCACAACCGCCTAGTGTGGAGTGGCAGGGTAACAATACCTGCAACAAGAACTGTGGGCACAAGAACTGCTGACTGTTGCCTAGTGCGGAGTGGCGGGGTAATGGAGCTCTCAACTTTTGCAAGGTCAGCAATCAGGTGGCTCGCGGGTTGGCCCACATTCACCGTCATGGATATGTGCAGCAGGATATCAAACCCGACAACCTCACCCTGGATGCCAACGTAGTCAAGATCATTGACTTCGGGCAGGGAGCCTCTTTCGGAGACGGCATCCATGGGTATTACGGCAGATGCGGTTTCCAATCCCCTGCACCTTACCTTAACTATAGCACGATTGGGAGGGTTATTCGAAACAATGGGCTCAGGGGTATGAAAGGAGATGATGGCATGCCGGCGCTATGGCCCGCCAACCGATGTGTGGAGCCTTGGATGCGTGGGCAAGTGGCAGATCGGACTTGGCAATGAGCCACATGATGATAGCCCGGAGCTGGCACTGCTGCTTGTCCGCAGTGCCTCTCTTAAGTTCTGCAATTGCAGAGAAGAAGAAGCGTCTCGGAGGTGCCATCCTCATCCCAGGAAACTTCCGCTCGGCCGCTCGGCCCACCGCCAAGGAAGTGACCTCGATTGCTCAGTGCCTCAGCGCCCTCTGGCTTCACTGGCTTGTTTTGTCGGTGAGCAAAGTTTGCGTGAATGTATACTCTTCTGGGCTGTGCGTACATTATTCTAAGGTTTTTGTTTTCTTTGTTGCACTCCCGCCCGCCCGCAGGCCCATTCGCCAACCCACACATCCTGTCACACACCACACGCACCACACACACACACACACACAGACAGACACAGACGCCACACACACCACACACAGCCACACAGCCACACACACACACAGCCACACACACACACACACACACACACCACACACACACACACACACACACACACACACACGCACACACACCCCACACACACACACATTCATACATACATACATATATATATATATATGTGTATCTATTCCCGGTCGTGAGTACAGTTCCGAGTTCCCACCCGTTTGCTAATTTCGAGTGCGCATGCACAGGTTTTCATGCCATACTGGTCGGGCCATGTGTGAACCATACTGCTCAGGTATCGGCGCAAGAAGCGCACGTCTGCTGACACGGCTGAACCAAGCTGCCCACGCCCGGATAAACGATTTCAAGTCAGCGGGCAATGCCAATCCCGACAAAAGAGCGGCGTGCCATCACGATTCCTCAGCCTGCGCAGTCTTTGCATGTGTGCTCTCATGAACTTGGAGCCTCTTGGTCTTGGCTTCTTTACACGCTACACGTACAAAGTCACTAAAAATGCGCAGACTTAGATTTGCAGCAAGGTCTCTGGAAGAAGGAGAAACGGCGGGTAGCAAATGAATTGTTGGGTCTTGATGCGCATGGTTTTCTTTCTCAAGAGTGACAGCGCGCAAAATTTGTTTTGTAGCACGGTCTCTGGAAGAAGGAGACGCGGTGGCTAGCAAATGAAGTGTTGGGTCTTGAGGAGAATGGTTTGTTCTTTCTCAAGAGTGACAGTGCGCAGAAGTAGATTTGCAGCAAGGTCTCTGGAAGAAGGAGAAACGGTGGCTAGCAAATGATTGTTGGGTCTTGATGCGCATGGTTTTTCTTTCTCAAGCCCACGTTCTAGTTTCCACACTTCATATTCAGCTGGCCCCACGACCCCTTCGCATGCTGCATAGCATAGACACCTCATTCGGTATTCGAATTACTGCCGAGCCTACATGTTAACCCGACACTTCTGCGAATGTCCTTCGAACCTGCAAGCGAAGCACTCAGCAAGCCTACATGTCGTCAAACTTGCGACCTGCCTTGACAAGTGTGGTTGAAGAATGGATGAAATGTCGGAGGCCCAGACGACGGTGCGGCATGTGTTGACTGAAAACGCGCTGCCGGATCCGTACAGTGCATGCTTAAGCTTAGTGTAGGGTGGTAATTAGTATGTGTTTTTGTACGGGTGGGGTTTTCCCGGTAATTCGTTGTTTGTTGATTCCGCGTTGAATCGATTGCCAACTATATAGAATGGCAACGGAAAGAAGCGATCTTCACCGCACATGTTGGATGTCTTCCCAGGTCCTCTACCTGGCTCATTCCGAAGACTGACAGCGTGGAGGACTGTTGAGTTGTGCTTCACGTGGGGTTGTAATTTTTGTAGCAAGGTTTGATTTCCATTAGACTGTTCGTAGAGACCATGATAGGAGGAGCCTCTGACAGATGGGCAAGACTGGGAAGTGAAACAAGAGTGTCCTAAAGATGGGCATTGGCAACGTAGTGTTTCATTTATAAAGTTGCTCCGGAACAGCGCTCACATTCCTCGTTCCCCAGATGTGTCCAGTAATGTTGGTTAGTCAGAAATGTGACAAATTGTTGCACGCAACGCGGCACCTGCTGCACATACATCGCCATGCTCTCATGCTTCAAACAGCCAGTCAGTGGTGAATAATGTCGGCTCCAGGCGGATATGGTGCAAAGGTTGCGAGATCAGGACCTTGTTGCTGCATTGCCTCAAATGCCTAAGTCCTTCTGGGAGCGTGTCTGTCAAGATTAGCATCTGTTTTCTCGTCTGATTTGATCACATGCTTCTGGGTGGCGAAGGCGTTGCTGTACGACTAGGGGGGAGTTCCTGGTGTTGAAGTGCCGTGCATCTCTTGTCATCTCAAGATACAGTTGTCTTTGCAGCCGTTGCAGCCCGCAGTTCCGCTGAAACGAGAAGGCAATGTCGGAGCAGTGCTCGGTGCAGAGCAGTCCTGTCAAGAAGCGGAAGCCACCTGCGCCCCCGAACCAGTCTGCTGGAATGGACTTGTTCGAGAAGGATCCGAAGAGCACTGTCAAAATCTTCCTCAGCCGGTATCTACCTCGAGATCCTGTGTGGGCGGAGGATTGTTGGTATTCTTCCTGGTCTGAAGACAGCCAGTTCATCGCCGAGCTGCATGTGCCATGTTTCAGCGACAAGGTGTATGTGGGAACGTGGAGCCTCACGCAGAAGACTGCCGAGCAGTCTGCAGCAAAGCAGTTCATTGATGATTCCGATGTACAACAGACAGCTCAGCGACTTCCGCCGACGATGCGGAGCATCAAGTATTGGAAGCAAGCACACCCATTCGTGAAGGTCCAAGTGCGATGAAAGATAGTTGAGCCTTAATTCGCCATTCGTATTGCAACACCTGTTGTTTACGATGGCAGAAACTTGTCAATATGCAAGCAACGCTTACAGCGCAAAAGAGCTCTTACTGTAGTCAGCACTTGCGCTTGTGAGGACGGTAATCGGACTTTTAAGTTTGGATTTGAGCAAGGAGTTGCTCAGGTTGCTGACTTCATGTTTCGATGTCTTCTGTTTCCTGTGGTCTCAAGTGTTCACCGCCCGATGTTGCCCTGAGCCACTGAACCTACTCGCGATGAAGGCAGGACCTGAGTTCCAGGACGCTGGCGGTCCAATAGGCCTTAGCCTTGGAGTACAACATGGGCGAAAGCGTAAGCCGATCGTCGGGCACTGGACTGAGGTGCAGACAATCTGATCCTTCCCGTTGGGCACGGGGCCCCGGTGCGTTGTGCCCTCCCAGTTAAAGCCCTAATTCCTTGAGCCCATGAAAATTAAAACTCTCCGAAATACATCACAGACCTGGAGACTTGGAGTTTCAACATGCTCCAAAGGGTTCGTACCTGTAGCAGAGCTGGTCTACTGTTAATAATGCACTTGTTTTGCAAGCTTGTGTCGAGAGAAACCCACTACTCATCAGTCACACTTTAGCGGAACCTGAAAGTCCAGGCTGCCGTAGGCTGCACATCGATCCTTGCGGGCTGGTTGGGCATAAACTGGCATAAACCCACGTTCGTGGGAAAACATCGGGATGCAAGCCATGTCAGCGATGGTCTCCACACGGCTACCCTGCGACTTCGGGCAAGCCTCTAAGCCATGCAGCCCCAGCTTTGTTCAACTGTACTTGTCCACCGACTGTGAGGTCCGCGCAGGTGCTGACTGTGGACATTCACAGCCCCTTTGTCCTCGCTGCGCTAAGTTCAGGCGTTGACACGGGTGTGTTGTCATCTTGCAAGTTTTCCTGTGCCAGGCAACATCGTTATCTTCCAGCAGAAATCGCGACGCGTCCATGCAGCTTTCCAGGCCAGGCCCGCCAATAGAGCGAGAGAGAGAGAGCGAGAGAGAGTTATTTCCGTGAAGTGCTTCCCACTCACCCTCACTCGCCCAATCTTGCGCACTCGCATTTGCGACTCCATAATGACTACGGTCCGCGTCCAGCCGTCCTTCCGTGTTAAACATGACGATGTACGGGGCGACCTGGCTTCCCACTTCCTCGCTCTGGTGATGGGCAAAAGAAGTTTCTCTCCCAAACTTAGCATCAGCCAAGCCAAGGTGTGACGACTCCCCATCCCCAGCAGGCACGGCCGCGCTGCTGCAAATGAAGCAGCCATGTGCTTCTTCTTGTGTTTTCTGCCCACAGGTCCGGATGTTTGCGGATGGCTGTCGAAGCTGCAGGCCACGTGGAGCGAACAGAAGTAGCTCAGAAACGTTTGCACGCGCACCCAGGCTTCCAGCCTTAAGCCTGACGCTGCCAGCACTGGCCCTGCAAGAAGCTGAGCTCTTCAGCTATGCTGTACACACTTCGCACAGCCAGCACATGAGATCATGCGTGGATCCAATCTGCTTCGAACATCGAAGCTCCGCACTGGAGTTCGTAGATCAGGCCGCGGCAAACCACACAAGGGCAGTTCCCAACACAGTTTCCTTTGCAGGGCAAGCTGGTCAAAGAAATCGACAAGCTGACCACGGCACCGGAAGGAATATGTGCGAGGCCAGCGGCTCCGGCTAGGTAATGTTGATAGAAATTCACGATTGCGAGCAATTGGAAGCCCCTCGTGTCGTGATTTTGTTCACTTGGCACAGCCTCCGCCGAGTCTCCGAAGAAGAAGCCTACGATCAGCAGCATGCTCAGTTTTGATCGAAGCCTTCCGTGTCGGCATCGTGACCTGGCAGTGAGGTGATCTACTGGCGGGAGGCACGTTCCAGAAGGAGGGCGCAGAAGGCAGAAGGGGGCATGAACGGAGAGATGTCTGGGAGAGAGAGCGGGAGCGGGAGCAGGAGAGAGACAGACGCGATGCCAAGCTGAGGGGACGCCGACAACGACGGGGACGAGGCCTTGCGGGAGGCCCGGGAGCGCCTCGCGGAGCGGCTCCAGGCGCCCTCCGCAACTCGGCGATGCACAGGGAGCGGTGGTGGTGGTGCACGCGCACTCGCGGGCTTTGCAGGCCTCCAAATTCTGCAGGCGCGTGGAGCTTGAGACCGAGCTTTTCCTGTCACGCCTCGAGAAATCACTGAAGCAAGAACGTTTGCGAGCTGACTCAACGGAGGATTTGTGTGTTGCGGACTTTGGGTTTTATGGATGGGGTTGAGGTCAGCTGCGTGTACCGCTTAAACTTTAAACATCGGAGCCGAACACCGGTGACCGCCGCCCGAGACGCCCTCCTGAAGGCGGCGAGGGCCGCAGAACTCGCGCAAGCCGCACCCGCAGCACGCACAGCGACGCGACCAGCCCGCAGGACCACCCGCGACACGCACAGCGATGCTAGTTTTCACATGCCGAAAGCTCACTTAAGGCTCCGTGCTGTCAAGGACATCGGGGTTGAAGGGGTAGGGGTTGGTTTCGTTTCTTAGGCTGTTGTGGCTTTGTTGCAGCATTTGGGGTTGATAGTCCGGGCTTTCGGGCTTGGGGTTGCTGATGGCGATTCGCGTCTTGCACGTCTGAGATTACGGTGACGTTTTTTAAATATATGGGGGCCCGGCCAGCCGAACTGGCCGCAGAGGTAGTATAAAATATTTGTTTAAATCCGTATATTTAAATCCCAGTATGACGTGATCTAGCCTTCAGTATTAAAAAAAGCTGAAGGCTGGAATGCTGGAAGGGGTTTAGGGCTTGAGGGGTTGAAGGCTGGAGACTGCAAGGGCTGGAGGGCTCCAGCCAGCCTTCCTACCTTTCCTCCAGCCTTCCAGACTTCCTCCAGCCCTCCAGCCCTCCAGCCTTCCAGCCTTCAGCCCCAGCCCAGCCTTCCAGCCTTCCAGCCTCCAGCCTTCCAGCCTTCCAGCCCTCCAGCCCTCCAGCCTTCCAGCCTTCCAGCCTTCCGGCCTTCCAGCCTTCCAGCTTTCAGCCTTCCAGCCTTCCAGCCTTCCAGCCTTCCAGCCTTCAGCCTTCCAGCCTTCCAGCCTTCACAGCCTTCCTCCAGCCTTTCAGCCTTCCAGCCCTCCAGCCTTCCAGCGTTCCAGGCTTCCAGCGTTCCAGGCTTCCAACGCTCCAATGGTTGCGGGCGCGGCATTTAAAAGGGTGGGTTTCGAAAACTGGAAGGCTGGAGGGCTGGGCTAAAGGAAGGCTTGAAAACTGGAAGGTTGGAAGGCTGGAGGGCTGGAGGGGGGCTGGAGGGCTGGGGCTTGGGGCTGGTGGAAGGCTGGGACTGGAGGGCTGGGGCTGGTGGAAGGCTGGAAGCTGGAGGGCTGGGGCTTGGGGCTGGAGGAAGGCTGGAAGACTTGAGCAAGGCTGGAGGGCTGGCTCGGTTTGGCTTGAACCTGAAGCTGAAAGGTTTTGGCTTCTACCTGAACCCTAGACCCTTAAACCTTAAACCCCAAAATCCTAAACCCCAAACCCACCAATCATCTGCCAATCTCCGGATATTTTATTTCGAGGCGGGCCCGGGCGATGTTTCACGAAGGTAGTGTAATATACCTGTTTAACCTATTTAAATATCCGTATATTTAAAAACAGACGCCGTAAGTTTTCGGGTTCAGAAAGATGCATTGCCGAGCTCATGGGCATTCTTGGTCCTTTGTCATGTCCTTGGGATAGGCAGCACTTCCCCTTCCGCAGCTTGAAATCCATGCCGCCAGTTTGGCACAGTTTCCTTTTGATTCCGAGTAAATTCCGAGGCTCCCTTGGCTTCAAGCGGTCTCGCCCCACCGTGCAACGCCTAGGAAAAAGAGAGATTCAATCTCCGCCTGCCTACAAGTGCAGACTGGCCTGCGGCAAGGAAGCCCTCTCAGACTCCGGTCGTTCGCAACACCACTCGCGAGGCTCGGTGAGTCAACTCGGGTGGTGGTCAGCGGGTTCTGCATACCAAGCGGCTGAGGCCATTCGATACGGTTGCCGGCGAATCGCAACATTTGCAGAGGCCTTTCCGGAGCGTTGAAAGATCTTGAAAGTAGCCCAGCCGGACGCCTTGAGAGAACCCTGTGAGGTGGAAAGATCCTGCCGTCGACCGGCGTTTGTACCAAACTCAAGACGAGCGGATGGGGGAGGCACTGTGTTCGAGGCTGGCCGAGTTCGTTTGCTATGCTTCCTGCTTTGCAGGAATCCGCAGATTCGCCGAAGGAGGTTCAGTGATTCAGAGCCTGAAGTGGCGGTGCTGATAAGATATTTGTGGCTGGCTCCGGTGGGCAGGAGTTCGATCGCGAAGAGGAACAGGCCAAGCAAGCGGCAGCGTGCTCAGTCGGGCCCAGTCTCTCACAGAGCCATCTCTCGTTGGAGCGCCTTACATTCCAAAGGTGGAGAGCTGCAAGCTGCAAGCAAAGCTGAAATCCGAAAGCAGGCACGCCACACACTGCTTAGCGCAACATGGTTCCGCAACTGCGGCTTTAAAGCATGCTTGGCAGAAGCCTGCGCTACTAAGCTTAGTAAGCTGTCAAGCATGGATTTTCCGGCAGCAACATGTTTTACGCCGGCAACTCAAGAGCACAGACATGTTGGGCATGTGCGGGCATGCGGCACGTGCTCCGATCCTCATCAAGTTGGGCTGCTGGCTTTTCAGCAGGAGACAACCGCTGTGCTCAAATGGTATCGACTGTCGTCGGTAGGGTCGACCTGCACAGGATCAAAAAGAGAGAAAGGTTCTGGTACTGGCACGTGCGGTGCTCGATCCATGTTGCTTGGACATAGGATGTGGGAAGAACTCGTTTCGTAGATCTTTGTGCAAGGGATGGCCGGAGGTGCGCAAGGGATTAACAGCCGCTCACCACACGTATGCACACAGACTTCGGAGCTGCAAGACGTCTAGGCTCACGGCTGGGCAGATGAAGGTGGCTGCGCAGTAGGCTGTTAAACATCTCAGCTTTTGCTCTGGAGTCTGCAGCAGTCCATGGCTTTCCAGGCCATGGGGATGGAGACTGTGGTCCAGAGCCCTGCTGTGCCAAGGCTGGTCACGAAGCACCTGTCGTTTTGCACTCCCTGCCTTTTGGCCGAATCAGCTGTTGACTTTGCAAACTGCTTCATTCTACTTGGGTTTTATCTATGCCGCTGTATCGCCGCCTTGCAGACTCGCGCCCGAAAGCGCACAGTGTCAATTGCCACGCAGATGAAAGAAGCATGCAAAACCGCTTCTCTCCTGCACCAATCCGTCTTCGCCTTCCCTGCAAAGCATCGGCATCGCCGAACAACTCCGGCAGCCGATGCTTCGAAAGCGCTGTGACATTGTAACTTGAGTTTTCTGGTGCAGCGGAGCAGAGAAAGTTGTTAAAAACCCTCAGCTGAGAGTTGCTTGCGGTTCAGTGCGGGCGGGTTGTTCACCAGCTGCGTGGCTTCCATGATGAAGGCGATTCCTTGACACTGTGAATCGTGACATTTTCTGCTTCACTACAGCGTGCAGATGTCTACATGGCTTGGGTTTAAGTCCCAGCCTCAGAGGGACGTGTTACCCAGTCCGGATACGCAAATACAGGTCAGATGAAGCGAAACATTACCGAAGCCAAAGCCAATGCAAAGAAAGTCCGCGACCCAGACAAGACCAGTCTGTGATGGACTCCAGGAGACCATGTCCTCATGTTGAAGTGCGGATCGGCTGAAGGTCTACCAAGCGTTGCGAAGCTGGCAGGCAGGCTGTTTCGCTTGCTTCAAAGATGACAGAAATGCGCTGCTCGGGTCATGGGTGGGAAGGTGGCTGGTCGCTACATCTTCGCCTTGAAGTCCTCGGGCCAAGACTACGATCGCTCTGGTTAGCTTTGACTCCAGAATGCCGTTGCCTGTGGTTCAGCTGCGTAGCAGCTTCGCAAGGTATCGCAGATTCCCCTCTCTGTCTCTCTGTCTCTCGCTCTTGCCCTATCTCTCCTTCGTTTACTCTCGCTCTCTCTCGCTCTCATTCTGCCGTACTCTGTCTCTAGAACACTAGCACTGTACACGAGACGGCGACAAGCAGACTTCTACCGGCATGAAGAAACCGGGCAGAATCGGCAAGCTGCAACACTGCATCGGGAATTGCTTGTCTTTCAGCCCTTCGATGCAATCCTGTGAAGACTCGTGCATGTTCCGAGGGACAGGTTGCTCAAGTGCCTACTGTAGCAAGTCGGTTAGCCATCCTTTTCCCACTGTGCCGTGCCAGTCTTTGTCAAACTGCAGTGCCAGAGTTCTTGGGATGACTGTGCATACGCTTCTATGTTACTGCTTCGGCTGCAAGACCGTCTCTTACGGCGATTTGTGTCGAGCTCCAGACTGTTGCAAGGTGCGTTCGAGAGCAGCGGGAGAAGATTGCGCAACGCCCGGGTCCTAGAGATACGCCAGAAAAGTCAATGTTGCTTCAGGCCTGGAACCCTTACACTGGCTTTGTTCACAGGTTGTATCGTATGACATGCCAGTGCATGCTACGCAGGGCATTTTCATGCACAGCATGTGTGTGCATGTACATATGTATGTATGTGTGTGTGTATATATATATATATATATATATATATATCTGTGTGTGTGGCCTTGCTCGCATTGCTCACGACACTGTTCTCGTTTGGCATTTGGGTTCGGTCTCGGTGCTTACAGAGACGACCAGAGATGGAACGATCCGCTCAAGGCTTCTGTTCCGAATGCGATGGGGCGATGGCCAGCAGACTTATCCCCCGCACTAAGTCACTAAGCTTGACAATGCCTGCTCTGAAGGTTGGGAGAAACTGAGAAAATTACGACTCTGGGATCCACTGCGCTGGAGCGTTGGCTGCTTGCCAGTGGGAGCGTCCTGCTGGGCAACGAGACTCTAGTGTGCCGGGCTTATAAATTGTTTGAAAAGATAATGGTTTACAGCAGCCACTCAGCTCTCTTGCAGGTTTGAGAGGTGTGTTTGACTTTAGAAGACAAGATAGCCATGGAGCTCACGCCGAAGGTTCCGGAGAGCTTGCGTTCTGGATGGACAGAGAAAGTACAAAAACGGATGTCTTTCTTGCCAGGCAGTTCGTATAACGTTCGTGGAGAACGAGCTCCGGGCGAGAAGATGCCTCTTGACTTCTTGTTGCTTTGTCAAGCTTGTAGGAAGTTGTTTAGCTTCGTGAGTTGAGAAGTTGAGATGGACAGAGGACAGAGTATGGAGTCGGCTGCTTCAGGTTGCCTGCCATAGCGAACTGAAAGCAGGAGTGTGTCAAGTGGAACGAAGAGTGTTCTGCGCCTTACAGTGCGCACCTGTCAAAGGCTATCGAAGCCTTTGCTAGCATTGCAATGATGAGGACTAGTGAGGCATTGCAAAGACCCAATGGGCATGATCACGACAACCATTGCAATGGTTGCCTTCAAACCAGTTGTGATTTCCGCAAACACACATTCAGAATAGACTATGGCATGGGATAGAGCAGTTGGCAGCAGCAATAGCAGTTGGCCCCGTCATCGGGGCAACAGTTGCAGCAGGCACGTCAAGAACCGTAGGAGTAGAGAGGTACGAGAACCCAAATTTTCCATACTAGTAATACCGCTTGTGAAACCACATCTGCAGGAAAATGTTTACATGTGGCGTGACCACACATAGCAACGAAAGAGAGAGGGAGAAGAGTTGAGAGAGAGAAACAGAGAGACCTGGAAAGAGTATTAACACGCAATAGCTACGCTCTCACAACAGGAGTAGCAGGCACGACCGCAGTATAACAGCAGTAAGCTCGGCTATAGTGCTGCCATCGCTGTCTACCTGCGGTCCGTTCCCATATTCCTGCCGTTTACTGTTTGTTTCTGCCGGAGCCTCATTCGCTGCTAGAAAGTTCCTAAAATTCATGCAAGAATTAATGACGCCCCCCGACGCAAAGGTTGCCTTTGTTACAAGATACCTCTAGACGTGGTATCTTGGACGTCGCATGCACCATCCCAGACAATGCCCAGATCCTTCTCCGCAAGGCCAAATGTACTGCTACCACATCCAAAGCTTTTCATCGATTGCAACGTGCCCTTGTTGCCTTGTGTCTGAAGCTGAGGCGACTTGCCGAGTTGCCAAGGGCCCATGCGTAAAAGAAAGTGCAGAGATGTGCCGACCGCCTGAAGTGAAGCACAGCCGCTTTCTGCAACAGAGCCACCGCGCTTCGACAGCTTGCTGCCATCGGGCACTCGCTTGGCTCACATTCGCCTGAGTACGCAGTGTAGCACTGCACTGATGAAAAAATCGTACGAAGAAGTCCGTCAGCATACAAGTATAGCAGTCATGAAGAACGGCCACTCTACCCAACTACAACTAGAAGAGCCAGAAGCGCAACTTGAAAAATGACAAGAAGAAGAAGGGCGATGCGCCCTCACCCCGAACATAAACCCTGAAAACAACACCCTAAACCTCAAATCCCCAAGGCCCGAACCGCTCGCCTCTAAAAACCCGAAACTCAGACAGGTCTGGCTCCTAAGTAGCCCCAGAATCCTACAACAATACAGACACACAGCGTTACGGTATCCTTCAAAAGACGATGCCAAACCTAAGACCACCTCATAAACTCTAAACCACCCTTGAAGCCTGCAAAACATGTTGAACACGACAGCCTCCGCCATGACCAGTGGTAACGGCATCTTTTCTTCCAAGCGGCTTGCCAAGCGGCTTTGCTACCAGGAGGCCTTCTGTGCTTCCGACTTCTCCTGCCTTGCGCACTTCCGATTCTTGGACTCTGTAGGCCCCCGACTTTGGGAAGCTAAGACACCCCGCATGAGGCAACCTGAATGCCACGGAGATCCACTCAGCATCATGGATGAGGCCGAGGTGGGGCTCACCAATCGGCACGAGGATCCGACAGAATGCGGGGGCATGTCAGAGTTTCTGTTGCAGGCACGGCGCATCATGGATGAGGCCGAGGAGGGGCTCATCGATGGGCACGAGGATCCGACAGAATGCGGGGGCATGTCAGAGTTTCTGTTGCAGATTGGCAGTGCAACTTACAGCAATGTGATTGACACACACAAACACACGTGACTGTGTCTGCGGGCGGCTTGCAAGTGGGATTCCAAGCTTCGATGCCTTTTTGAAGACTATGTGCACCTGTCAGGACCTCTACGTCGACAATGAGCCGGATGAGGTTCACGTGCGGCCCATCCCGCAGGTGTCCTGGTTTGGGCAGGTTTTCTTGATTTAAGTTTGCAAAGCGCAGCCCAATGTCAGCCACAGTTTCTCTCCCTTGGGTGTGAAAGATGTCATAAGCCAGAGGAGCACAAGCGCCGCCGCCGTCATGGCAAGGAGGCGCGCAAGCGCCACAAGCAGAAGCAGAAGGCGCCGTGCATGTAAGGTGTCGTTGCTTTGATTGCCGCAAGCCGTCTGAATTTCGTGTGGAATCCGGGGGGAGTCTTGATTGAGCACGCCTTGCGGATTTCTTCTCAAATCAGACACTCAGACACCAGCGGGCCTCGCTGCTCTCTCTCTCTCTCTCTCTCTCTCTCTCTCTCTCTTTCTCTGCAAAATTCCACTATACAATCCAAACAGTCCTGATTCCTTTCTGCAACCAAGCAGTCGTCCAGTCTTGAGCCGATGCCATTCGGCATTGTTGCATTCACAAATGCATCGTGAACATTATAGGGTCGTTGGGCTCGTGTCAGTTAACACAGTCCCTTGATCTTGGCTGTAGTCTAAGATCCTTAATTTCTGATGCGACTCAGTGCGGCTCACTTGGCCTTGGCATTCGCATTCATCTGGAGCACCACTTCAGCTCCAGGAACAAGTGCATTCGCGACACTTGCGAGGGAAGTCGCCGAGCTCGAGGGTGCCATTGTCTTTGCCTTCTTCGATGGCACTCCTGCACTCGAGGAGGCGGGACCATTCCAGGCATTCAAAAGCTCGCCATCATCATCTTCATACAGTTCATCCCAAGTGGAACAGTCATGATGCAATCCGGAAACACTCCCCTGCATCAGTGGGACCATTGTGTGTCCCATCAGACGCCACTCGATCAGGCCATTGGGGATCACAGTGGCCAGGCGGTTCCATTCCACTATTTCCGCGCGGCAAAGAAGCGGGTTGCCATTCGAGCGGAACATCATATCATCAGTCAGAGGCATTCTGATGATTCCCATGCTGTTCAGTGAAGACACACTGGGAACAGTCCAGAACCACTTCCTGGGGACATTCGCGACGCCTTCGTGCTTGTCATTCTCGAAGGTGCCATTCTGGGTCGAGATGTGGTCAGTGAACTGGCGATTGAAATAATTCTCCAGGTTCATTTTCTTATTCGAAGCCTCAGTCCACTTTCTCATTTCCTCATTCTTTGCTCGTCGATGCAGCACGACGACCAATCCATCATCGGTCGCAGTCTCGGCGAAGCATCCCTTGCAGTACCATTGCACAGTTTTGCGCATTGCGGACAATGCGCAAAAGCTCCCATTCCCATTCAGCTGGTGGGCGACAAATCAACCCTGCCAGTCTGGAAAAACTTCTCCCCGACAGTGGCCGGGAGCATGATCCAGTCATAGACATTGACCAGCTCATCGGTGACATTCTCCTTGGCATTGGGAGACATCTTCCATTGGATGTGCCAGTCACCCTTCGTGAGGAACATTCGCTCTGCCCTGGACATTGCATACCAGGCAGTCTCGACCATGCACTCATTCAGACCATTCTGCACCGGGGTGTGGCAGTCGCAAGCTCGACATTGGGCGGTTCGAGTTTTCATCCGGGTGCTCAAATCTGCATCCCGACAATACTCCACTCCTCGTCCCGGGATGAAGAGGGACAGGATCGGAGCCCAATCATCATTCCACTCACGGCGGTAGACAGCTTCAGCCAGTCCGACCTGTGCATTGTACAGTCGGTTGGCCATCTCATTGCCATCCATCACGATCTTCTGCTGATCCCCTTCATTGTGAGTGGCAACATAGGCATCCAGTCGCTGCCAAACAGCAGTCACTTGCTTTCCAAAGTCCATTCGGGTCAGTGCGGCTGACACTTCCCGATTCACATGACCATTCCTCGACAATCTGTGGGTGGTCAAGGTCTCATTCATCAGATGCAGTGACTCGACTGGAATGTCATTCGAGCCAGCCTTTCCATCACTCTTCCAAACCGGTGGCAGTTTGCGAGTCGGTGCCACTCCAGCGTGGAGGCAGTCTGCTCCACATTCGGCTGATTCACTGGAGCAGGGAAGATGCCCAGTGCGGCATCAATCCGCTGATTTCCAGAAAGGGCCTCAGTCGGACCTCCATTTCCAATATCGACATGAACCGTAAGGACATTCGCTCCAGGCTCAGCATTCACTCTCACAAATCCAGGTGGGCGAACTAGAGATTCGCCAGTCTCCCATCGGATAAGGTCCTGGCGATTCTCAGGCACTCCGCCAATCAAGTGCAGTGCAACCAGTGAGGATTGCACTCCTTCGTTCCTGATGTCTTCCACAGGGCGGCCAGTCAAGACAGCCAGATCCACTGCCAGGCGCTTTCCAGTAATATTCTCCCACTGGACTTCCGGAACAGTCGGCATTGTGGGTTGGGCCATTGCTACACTCGAAGCAAGGAGGCGGTCTCTACAACACCACGGGCACTCTACAGTCGCACTAAGGAAACATTCAGGGGAAAACATTCGGGGAAACACATTGGTCTCAGTCAGCAAGGCAGTTGTCTCAGACAGTCTCTTGCATCACAACCTACACTCGCAATCACTCGGTTCGACATTCGGCGACACCGAACGCGAAAACAATTTCCGACAGATCCCATTCGAGATCGGCAAACTGACATTGATTCAGTTCGACAAAGAAATATTTCGGGTCGGAAAATTCACTCACAGAAACTAAACTCACTCATTCTCTCCTCTCTCTTTCTTTGGTTTTGGGGTTTTCAGGAAACACAAACAGTGCCCATGCAGTCATGACAAGCAGTCGGCTTCACTTTACATTAGACAAGACAGCATTGACATGTTGCAAAGGTCATGCACACTGCAATATGCTGCAGTCAGAACTCGTGCACTCAGTCCCTCGGCGTGGACTTCAGTCCGACGACGCCCAGAGAAGCATTCACGCACAGTGAAGAGAACGCGCAGATTGGATGGGCGGGCGGGTGGTGCATGGAGCATTCAAGGGGGCAACATGATCATCAGTATCATGAGCATCAGGGGCCGCATTACCCTTGAACCATTTTGAAGCCACTCCCAAGTGGGTATTCAATCCTTGCAACACATCAGAGGCAACATATTTGGTCATTAGGTCTGCGGGATTCCGCGTACCTTCAATCTTAGCCATTTTCAGCACATACAGGAACCGCAGTTCCACGTGCTTCGTTTTCTTTCCAGTGCCAAATCTACCAGCAGTAGAGGCCGTGTGGGCGATCACACTAACCTTCTTAGCCAGTTTGTCTTGAAGCAGCATTGACCGAAGGAACAATTGCATACAACTCTGCTTCACCAGAGGACAATGCCAGTGTGCCTTCTGTCCTGGCAGTGCTAACCATATTACACCCAAGGACATTCACAGTGGATCCGCTGGTCGACTTTCTAGTCTTTGAGCATCCGGCCCAGTTGGAATCCACAAAAACATTCACGTCCAAAGAACAGCTGATACGATGGACGCAGTCTCAACACACACACACACACACACACACACACATTTTGGTACCAATCAGATATCTCAGCAAATGCTTCAGTTGTGCAACACTCTGCATTGTCGGGGCAGTCACATCCCGACTCAGTTCTTTAGATGCACAAGCAATGTCACCTCTGATCAGTGTCGTTTGCCAACTGCAGTCCTGTACACTGAGTGTTCAGCAGGACTCAACGGTGTGTCCGAAACAGTCTTGGCAATGGTCACAGAACCAGTCGTTGCAACTTGTTTGGCACTCTTCATTCCATAGAGATCCAGGATCGAATCAATGTATGTCGTAGACATGCATACATCCATCGAATCACCATTGTGTCGCAATCGTCTGCCAAGACAAGTATGCTCAGTCCCCGGCACAAGCTGGCCAGTCTCTTTGAGCAACACTTCTTCCGACAGTTTGGACATGAATTCTTTCCGCATGTCATCAGTCCCCAGACCTACACTTCACCGGACATTGCCGCATGCAAGAAGGCAGTGCTCACATCTCCTAGTCAAGCCATTGCCATACAAAGCAGCAATCTCATTGTCACCAATGAAGGTGTTGAAGCGAACAGGTCGTCCTCTTCATTCTTTCAACATTCTGAAAACAACCTCTCGCAACAACTCTGCACCTCAAGTGTAAATCATTCTTCCATACCTTGACCCATCTGCAGCGAAGGGCCTCATTGACCTGTTCCTCGGTACAGTCCTTAATGAAGAGAATGAAGAACTCGAAGATCTGGCGCCTGGACAGAGTGAAAGTCTGACTGTCCAAGATATCTTGGAGAATGATGGTTCTGGCCGTTCGCCTGCCGAGATTGTTCATGACCCTCCAGATCCTGGAGAGAATGCATCAAAGAAAGCGAGGAGCTCCGGCCACTGAGCCCGTGAACAAGCAAACGAGGATCTCAGCAGTGCATCACTTCATTGCTGGAGGGATTCCCGCTTGTAAATGGCTTGCATCGATCGTTGGAGTGGATGAAGTTGTTGGCAAAGATGGCACCAAGATTGATGTCGAGGTGAACCCTTTTCCTCAACGCATGACAGTCCAGGAGGAGGCTTCGCTCTGCCTTTCACTCCAAGATCAGGTGGCATCACGAACGCAGTCGAATCAACTCCATCACCCTTGGGTTGCCACGGCACTGACAGCATTTTTGTCACTCCAACCGCATTCCACTGTTGAGAAGGCGGTTTCCGCATCACAGTGCGGACCTTAAACACACCATTGGCATTCCACTTCATCTGCCTCAGTGTCCTTTCCAAGGTACAATCCGGAGAGCCATTGTGATCCTCCCTTGGAATCTTCACTTCGAACTGATAGGCAGTTTTGCATCAGTCCATTCACCGAACATGCACAGTACTCCATTGTACTCACGGGACCATCTCCTGCTGTAGGCAGTCTTGCCATCAGCTCCAATCATGCACCGGTTGATCAACCATTGCGCAAGCTTCACACACAAAGTGAACATTTGAGTTTCAGACGTCAACTTCAACCCAGTGGATTCTTGAACTTGCGACATCAGTTCTCTCAGTTGACCATACAAAGTCCTTGGCACATTTCCGACACTTCCTTGACTCTGGGAGTGTCCAGTCGGTGCTGCACGCATGGACAATCCTCCAATCGACTTGCAAAGGTCCGTGGCAATCGCTTTCAGTGGTCATATTGAACAATCCCAAACGTCCTGCCAATTTCAAACACAAACCGACGCAGTTCAGTAACAGCATACTTCTCCGCACTACCTTTCGAAGGCAGTACAATAGGCATTGCATATCCATATCGAGTCTGCACGTCAGTTGCGTTCAGGATTATCCTTTTCGGGAGGTGGTCATTCTCCGTCGACAAGAAAGAGAAATCAATCTGAATCACAGGCTGCCGGTCATTCTTCTTGACTGCATGACTTTGTCTTCCCTTCGACTTGACACAGTGCTCGCACCATTCTCGAGAAGGAAGATGGGTCAATTCGTGCAGTCTCCTTCACTCTCCGACGGTTCACCTGGAATCTTCAACATTTTCGGCTTCAATGTACTCTTGTGGGCATCTTGATGTCAGCCCATTCATTTTGATGGCCAATGCCGATCTGTGAAGTGTCACTCGAATCAAAGAACATTGTGTACCGATCACCTCATAGACAGTCACTCAACAATCCATCCGCAGGTGAAGGAGCACATCAGGTGGTGGAAATAGCAATCTCTCCACTCATGATGAATTCGTTTCCAATAACGAGGAAGCATTATCCGCCGGTCAGTAGTCCGGGGTGCTGCAGTCTCCGGATCCTCGAGATTGAACACTTGCAACAACAACTCCTTCATTCTGCTGCCATGTTGTGGAAGTGACCGAAAACCATTCTCCAGCTCATGTTCCTCAACATTTCGGCTAACTCTCATCTGACGATCAACCACGTCTGGCTCATTCCCAACCGTCTCCATTCGGCCATTGGCCTTGCGGGATTCGACAACCTCACTCGCTGCCATTCTAGCCGCATCTGCCACGGCATACGGTATGACAGTCGGTGTCAGATAGACCAGGGTACCTTGTCTCACAATCGGCACAGGGCTGCCAGTCGGATCAATCAAGGCCATGTAGTCCTTCGCCGTCACACTCCAGAAGTCTTGCAACACAGTCTGGTGACACTCACCAGTGGGAAAGGTATCCCAGTGCACACGTAAAACTGCACACTCAACGAGTGGCCATTGCCACAATCAAGCTGCACAATCTTACGACCTTGCACATCCAGTGTCTTTCCAGACAAGCTACGCGGTGATGGGCAACGGCAAAACAGGGTAGTCCGGAGCAGACCATTCCGGACAGCAGGCGCACAAGCTCCACTGTCAAACAATATCCACGACTTGCCAGTCAGTCCAGCTTGCATGTGAAACTCGACCAGTGTGTCATCACAACTCAGGCGAGCAGTCTCAAGCACATTCCGGTTAGGAACAGGAGGCACTCCAGCACTCAATGCTCCAATCGGCAAGCAAGATCCGATAAGCAGATTTGTTGCCAGTCCAGGCTTCGCACCACGAACCTTGCTGCATTCTGATCCTGAGTGTCGACAGTCACGGCCGCTACATTCAGCGGTGGCTCATTCTTGACGGGTTCCTGCGGAACAGTGGTGCCTTGCACACTCGACGTGCTAGCATTCGGCTGCTCAGCACTGCACCTATCCTGAGGACCCAAGACCCGTCATCTCCAGTCATCTTCGGACCAAGACCAGTCACCAGACCCATCATCAAGAGAGCCAATCCAATCCTGATTCAATCCTAGCTCATCATCCCATGTCCATTCACCATACCATTCCATGTCATTGCTCCATTCTTCCTGGAATCCTTCCTGTTGTCCTTCTTCCTCAGTCAAAGCTGACATTCGTCCTTTTCCTTTACCTTTAGGGCATTCCTTGCTCCAGTGGCTTGGATCGCCACATAGAAAACATCCTTGTCCTTTTCCTTTTCCTTTAATTCCTTTGTATCCTTTGCTCTTTCCTTTGCCCTTTCCTTTGTACATTCTTTTTCCTTTGAATCCTTTTTCCTTTGCCTTTGTACGTTTCTCTTCCTTTTCCTTTGTATCCTGTCCTTCCTTTCAGTGCTCCAATATCCATATCAACTGGACCATCATTCCTGCTTGGTATTACAAGATGTCTGCTCTTGATGTAGCTGTACACAATCTCAGTATATACCTCCGTGAACGTGTTGTTATTCCTGACATTCAATCTCAGGTGCTGCTGCAATGACCAGTAGGTCATTGTCAAGCGGCACTCCAGTCGTCTCCTCATGTCTGTTCTTCAGTATGATGAAATCACTCAAATCACTCTCCAAGTGAACACTCCGCAATCGAAAGGAAATGATCTCATTCAAGAGACTAGCCGCACGGGCTCTATTCGGCAGTGAGAACTGTTTGAACAGTCTACGCCAGAACTCAAAGCCATTCTCTGTGTCTTCATTCCTCACAATCGCTCTTGCAGCTCCATCAGTGATCTGTGCCAACATGTAAGCCAGTTGTTTGGCGAACAGTGACATTCGGTTACTCTGCGTTTGCATTTGTTGGACATCGTAGGCCTCGCACAGTCCATCAGTCACCACCTTCGAGGCATTTTGCTCAGCCTCATCCATCAGTGCTTTGGCCAGTGGTTTGTACAGTCCCATGTACCTCTTCATTTGCCATCTCCATGGTACTGTTGGGGTGGAAACAATTTCAGTTCACCGCCAATCGCTCTCTGGTGGAAATCCATTCTTTCTCACTTCTTCCCTTTCTCAGGAACCGAAGCTCCGCCACCATGCAAAATTCAACTATACAACCCAAACAGCTATACCCAACCAAGATCAATCACTTTCCCTAGTCACAGCTCACTCCTGATTCCTTTGTGCAACCAAGCAGTCGTCCAGCCTTGAGCCACTGCCATTCGGCATTGTTGCATTCGCAAATGCATCTTGAACATTATAGGGTCATTGCGCTCGTGTCATTTAGCACTCTCTCTCTCTCTCTCTTGTGGATGTTGTGGCTGAAAGCATCCCGGCCGGTCTTCCATGTGAGGCGGTTTAACAGATTCTCTCGAGCACTTTTGTGATGTGGTCAGGCAGCAAAGCGTGCCAAGGCGAAGGCCAAGGCCAAGGCCTTGGCGAAGGCCGGCTCCGGAAGCTCCTCCGGCAGCTCCTCCAGCAGCTCCTCCAGAAGCCGTGACGAGGCGCTAGCATTGCCAGGCTGTGTATCTAAAGTTTATAAACAATTCTGCAATCAGTTGAAGGAGCGCTTGCGGCTTGAGCACGAGATCCGTGGCCAGCGGGTGCGCCCCAAGCCTGTGCTTGTGTAGGATATAGGCTTTAGCATGTCAGCCTGTCCAGGACACCATCGAGATACTCAGAGCTCAACTTGAGGCCACTGCTGCTCGCAGGGATTTTTGGCCGTGTCAATTGCGACGTCTTTTCCAGGCGCAAGAACAGGATCGGCGAAGGGAAGGCTGCTTGCCGTGCAAATACCACCTCTTAGCTGACATATTGTGGAAAGGGGGTACCTTAGTCCATGCATTACCCAGGGCTGGGTTAATGCATTGTGGAGGGGTCAATCATAGAGTTTCGAAAGATACCCCAACATTGAAAGAAGCAGGTTGGAAACAGCCAAAGCCGAGTAGTCTAAACTCCGAAGAATCTAAGCCTCTCCCTACTCACTCCTTTGCCGGCGGAGTTGTACGTCTTAGCAGCGACATGTACAATTCGGCCGACAGGGTTTTTTTCGATTCTTGGACACCCGGCCTGGCGGTGCCGCGGTCGTGCGCTGCAGTGCAAAATCCATCAAAACCGGAGCAGCATAGAGTATCTGGACTTGGCTGACTCCCCTGGAATACATTACAAGGAGACTTTTTCTTCTGGAGACCCTACAGCACACCAACCTGCAATGTATTTAGCAGGGGAGGCCTTCCTACAGCAGATGGGCGAGGGTTGTCTGTGCCACACGTTTGTCGGTCAACTGAGTGCTCGCAGGCAGGCCCTGCGACCAGCTGGCCATGGCTCGAGCCGATGCCGCCATCGTAGGGCACCAAGTCCAAGTGCTGCAAATGGTCGTGCCTCAGCGATGCATCAACTCAGGCCATGCTCACGCAGCAGAGGCAGCGGGACATGGCGCGAGACCTCAGCCAGGCTCTGGAAGTCTGCGCCCCGGACCGGCCATGGCGGTTGGAGGTTCCACTGAGTCGAGCCTTTCAGGCCAACAGAACACGAAGATCAAGACCAGGTTGATTCCAGCACGTAGCTCAGCGACGTCAGTCCTTCTCTGGAGTTGCAGCCGCATGCTGCGCATCCTATGATAGCCTCGCCATCAGCCCTGGTAGATCCACCGTCTTCAAACACTTAAACCCTAAACCCACCCCCTGTGGTGTAGAACTGGAATCCAGCTTGTAGCACCTACCGTCAAAGTCACAGCACCAAAGACCTCGTCAGGCTTGTCCGAGTTGCGAGAGCGTAAACCTGCTACAAAACCCCAAACCCTTTAAACATAAACCTGAAACCAGATACTACACTCGACCCTAAACCTAACCCCCCACTTTAGACTCGAAGCCCTGAGCCCCAGACGACACCCTGGACGATAACGTTAGCCGGATCACCAAGTGACGGGGTCCCGTGAGGGTTTAATGCTTCTTGTGTGTGGGTGTGTGTCTATATATATATATATATATGTATAGACAGATACATAGATACCTGGAGTGTTTGGGTGGGCCGGGAGGCTGGAGTTCAAGGTCCTCGGGCATTGAGAGAGTCTTCTTTGTCTGGCTGGATCAGTGGACTTAAGACTTAAGAAGTCGCATATGTGTGGCAATAGTTGGGGTTCGCACATCCCTAAAGTTGAAGTTATCCGACAGCCTACTTGTCAAGTCCCCTGCACTGGTCGCTGAGGGCGCCTCGAAAGTTTCACGAAACTCCCAGCATCCCTCAGCTCACAGATCTCACCAGCCTAACCAAGTCTTCACCCCGAAGCGTTTGGGAATCTACTACTAGAGACCAGCGTGCTTTGGTACGGTACTTTATTGGTGGCTGGTTCCCCAGGTCTGATAGTGCGCTGCCTGGCTATCTCCGAAGGCCTCATCCGAGAACGTGCCGCCCTGGCCACCTTGACTCCCGGGACAAACAGCAATTAAGCCTGAGCCCGGTACGTGCAGGGGGCACCATGTTCGGCCTTACCCGCGCATTCCCTTCTGGGGCGGTAGTGGCAGGCAGGACATTGCTTGGTGCTCAAAGGCCCAGGCTTGAGTTGTCATGTTCAGCTTTCTTGCAGGAAAGACCGAGTTCGTAGATCAGGTCGCAGCAAACCACACAGCCTGCTCCCAACAAGGGCAGTTCGCAACGCAGTTTCATTTGCAGGGCAAGCTGGTCAAAGACATCGACTCGCTGACCACGGCACCGTGAAGACTATGTTCGAGGCCGGCGGCTCCGGTTAGGCAATGTTGATAGAAATTCACGATTGCGAGCAGTTGGAAGCCTCGGGTCGTGATTTTGTTCACTTGGCACAGCCTCCGCCGAGTCTCCGAAGAAGGAGCCTACCTTCAGCAGCATGCTCAGTTTTGATCGAAGCCTTCCGTGTCCGCATAGTGACCTGGCAGTGAGGTGATCTACCGGCGGGAGGCAAGTTCCAGAAGGAGGGCGCAGAAGGCAGAAGGGGACATGAAAGGAGAGATGTCTGGGAGAGAAAGCGGGAGCGGGAGCAGGAGACAGACGCGATGCCGAGGACGACGGGGGACGCGGCCTTGCGGGAGGAGCACCTCGCGGAGCGGCTCCAGGCGCCCTCCGCAACTCGGCGATGCACAGGGAGCGGTGGTGGTGGTGGTGCACGCGCACTCGCGGGCTTTGCAGGCCTCCAAATTCTGCAGGCGCGTGGAGCTTGAGACCGAGCTTTTCCTGTCACGCCTCGAGAAATCACTGAAGCAAGAACGTTTGCGAGTTGATTCAACGGAGGATTTGTGTGTTGCGGACTTTGGGTTTTATGGCTGGGGTTGAAGTCAGCCGTGTGCCGAACGCCGCAAGGGTCTGACCAAAGTTTCGCATGCCGAAAGCTGACAGTGCTGTCAAGAACATCGCGGTTGTAGGGGTAGGGGTTGGGTTCGCTTGTATTTAAGGGTTTGGGCCTCAGGCTGTTGTGGCTTTTGAACCACGGTTTTTGACAGGATCTCGGGTGGGCGTTACAGCATTTGGGGTTGATAGTCTGTGCTTTGGGTAGGGCTGCTGATTGCGAATCGAGTCTTGCACGTCTGCGATTAAGTTTTCGGGTTCAGATGCATTGCCGAGCTCATGTGCTTTCTCGGTTCTTTGTCATGTCATTGAGCCTACTTGTCTTGCCGTCCCGGTCCTCTTGGGACAGGCAGCACTTCCCCTTGAAATTGATGCCGCCAGTTTGACACAGTTTCCGGTTGATTCCGAGGCTCCCCTGGCTTCAAGCGGTCTCGCCCCACCGTGCAACGCCTAGGAAAAAGAGAGATTCAATCTCCGCCTGCCCGCAAGTGCAGACTGGCCTGCAGCAAGGAAGCCCTCTCAGACTCCGGTCGTTCGCAACACCACTCACGAGGCTCGGTGAGTCAACTCGGGTGGTGGTCAGCGCGTTCTGCATACCAAGCGGCTGAGGCCATTCGGATGTGGCTGCCGGCGCATCGCAAAGACCGAACCGCCACATTTGCAGAGGCCTTTCCGGAGCCTTGAAAGAAGCCCAGGCGGACGCCTTGAGAGAACCCTGTGAGAGGAAAGATCCTGCCGTCGACGTTTGCACCAAACTCAACACGAGCGGATGGGGGAGGCACTGTGTTCGAGGCTGGCCGAGGCCGTTTGCTATGCTTCCTTCTTTGCAGGAATCCGCAGATTCGCCGAAGGAGATGCAGTGATTCAGAGCCTGAAGTGGCAGTGCTGATAAGATCTTTGTGGCTAGCTCCGGTGGGCAGGAGTTCGATCGCAAAGAGGAACAGGCCAAGCAAGCGGCAGCGTGCTCAGTCGGGCCCAGTCTCTCATATAGCCATCTCTCGTTGGAGCGCCTTAAATTCCAAAGGTGGAGAGCTGCAAGCAAGCTGAAATTCGAAAACACTCTCGCCACACACTGCTTAGCGCAACATGGTTCCGCAACTGCCGCTTTAAAGCATGCTTGGCAGAAGCCTGCGCTAGTAAGCTGAGTAAGCTGTCAAGCACCGCCACCGCCACCGCCACCGTCGCCGCCGCCACCGCCGCCGCCACCGCCACCGCCACCACCGCCACCGCCACCACCACCAGCAGCACCACCACCAGCACCACCACCACCACCACCACGACCCACCACAACAACAAGAATCGCCACAACCGTTGCGCCTGCCAGCACCCATGTCGCTTCTGCAGCCGGAGCCTCCGCCGCCTGCAAAACTAAGAAGAAGAGCAGCAGCAGCAGAGGCAACAACATCGTCATGATTCGGAACGGCATCAAGCAGTAGTCGACACTCCACGCTCGTACCTTGCACCCGGAGCAACGAGTCAGACCGCGACCCGAAGGCCCTGGCTCCTTGCACGACTCGACAAAGGATCCTTGCTGTTTTCCTTGGATTTCTGATTCGGTGGCATTGACCATGACAGTGTGAGGTGAGCCCTGCTACCAGCTGGGTTACCAGAAGCGCTGCCTTGGAGGCCCAACAGAGCACAGCACTGCCACCGCACTTGCCTTGGTCTCGGGTTTAGGGCTCAGAGCCTGGTGTAGTTTTAATGGAACCTCGACGTCGTTGAGTACATTTACGAGTGATCTTGCATGCCTGTCTCTGGCGATGGATGGGCAGAGGAATCTCAATAAAGGTTGTTCTGAACTGCTAACTTCGCACATGCAAGCAGGGCTTTCAGCTCTGGCCGCAGAAGTGTTACTCGTTGTTACTTGAAAGCCGCCAACACAGGTCGAACATGCTAACCGACGGTTCTGCACGATCAGCATCGCCGCCTCAGCATCACCACCATCAGCACCAGCATCGACTCAGAACTCAGCATCACCATCGTCGTCGATATTCCAGAGGCATTTGGATGCAGCCGGTCCAGATCGTTGCCTTCGACTTCTGTTTTGCCGAGAAACGATAACCCTCGCCAAGAACTGTACTTGAAACTTACGAGACGATGCATGATCTTACACGCGTCCACCTTGCTTCGCATCGGTCCGTGATCATGCATTGCAAAACGGCAACTTTAAAAGGGGGTCTCATTAGCTGTCCAGAGCCAGGAGCTGTCTAGGAAAGGGATGTTCTCGTCCAGCATCCGATGAGTCGCCAGGTCGGTTCAACCAAGGGCACATGCCGATGAACACCATGGCGCTCGTGATGTTCGGCGAGTTCTGAGAGCTTCAGAGCTTTGGCTCAGTCGCACTGTTGACGTGGACGGATCGTCCTGCATTCACTAAATGCCAGGACCACTAACGCCCAGCTTGCATGCCGTAATGCAGCTACTCCAGACAGGGAGACAAGCCGAGACAAGTCTCCAGTCCCGGGATGATCAACGTCACCGTAGAAGCGTCTTCCCTTCACAGCTGAGACGAACACTTCGCGCGAGGATGAACGACTCTACTCGCGTGTTTCGGGTTCGCCTTTGTCTTGACCCAGCACTGTGAGCCATGTATTTGCAGAACCCAGCGTTTCATGGATTCGGGGCCTGGACTTGAACCGCAGAAGAACTTTTGAAAGCTCCACTTTGTGGATGGCAAGACATGTGAACGACTTGAGTGCATTTGGACAAGTAAATTGCAGCGTGCCGTACTCCACAAGGCAAGTTGAACGCGCGATTGGATTCCTTGAGCATTCCCCGGCTCTTACAGCATGGCTGCGCCTCGCTTGTATGCGTGGGCCAAGAAACCAGGCAAATCAATGTCACAAGTTCGGCGATTTGGGTAGGATGGGTTTCCCTTGACTGATGCCGCAAGGCTTCGTCACTAATTGCACCAACCATAAGGGTGGGAGCTGAAGAATTCAGCGCTGTAGGGGAAGCAGTTCTGGTCCTGAGTTCTGGTCCTGTCCGCATTTCTTGGCTTCAGCTTGCAAAGCTCTTTGCTGCCATGTGTGTCGTAGCGTAGAAAGGTTGCGCGAGCCAAATCAATCACTGACGTTGAAGTGCTACAACGAGTCTTAGATTCAAACGCTTGCGCGTCCATCTCCAACACAACGTGGCCGTATTTGGTGCTTGGTCCATCGTGATCCAGCACCATGCTGCTTTCTTCAGGAGTCGAGCGGGAGCATTCCTACGGTTACGTGAGAGTAGGATCTCATCGAGCTTGTGCCTGCAACTGGACAGGAGCAGCTGCATGCTCCAAGGCTGCGCAAGAGGCGCATAGTTATGGCTGACCGTGTGAAGCCTATCTTGTAGCGCGCAATAACCACTGTCAGGCGTGGCTGTGGGTCAAGAATCAGGTCCGCAGGCCGCGCATGTCGCGTAGCACATGCAGTGGTGCCGTGCAGACAGCCGACAGAACAGATCATTCCTTGGCAGGCCATCTACACCTCGACGCGGCCAAGGCGGCTGCGCTCATGATCTGCTTCAGGAGAGCACTGGGTGATGGCGAGCGAAGCTGAAGTCGCGTGAGCCTGCGAAAGGAGCAGTTTGACGTCCTGAACAGCCCAATTAGGGGCGCAGTGGAACGTCCTTGCATCACTTTGCGCGATGTGGGGCGGGCACTTCAGGAGCTGCAAGCTGGCATTGTGACACTCACACTGGCTCTGTAGAGACGTCGTTGTGCCATGTGGGGCATGTGCTGCAGGAGCTTTGCAGCGGCGATACCGCCATTCACAACCTGCCCTCAACCGAGGCTTCGCCGCTCGTCTGGACTTAATACCATCTGCGCATAAGCACTTGTACGCAAAACGCAGAACTGGCGTCGCTTTGGGCGGGTGGTGGTCACGAAGCGCAAACCTGCACTCTCGGGGGTGCTGGCGCTGGTCGTGAAATGCGGACTTTTTGGCCGGTGTCGCGAAACGCGGAGTCGTCGTGTCCGGCTCTTGGCTCCGAAGTCGAGGTTTGATGATGATGATGATTATTATTATTCGTATTATTTGTATATATTGGTTTGCGGAGGGCTTCTGGAGCTCTGATGGCTGCAGTGCTGGTCCTGGGTGCTCTCGGAAGTGGTCCTCTGGAGTGGTCCGGAATGGCTTGGGTGAGTTCCTGGAGTTCTAAGTGGTCCTGTGTGCTCCTGTGTGGTCTTTGAAAGGTCTTGAAGTGGTCTTTGACTGACCTCGGGAATACTATTCGGGAATGGTCTTCAACAGATCCCCACATCTTTGGCCCTTCGCTGTTTGGGGTCCACGTTGGCACAGTAAAGCCGAAGAGCAGTTGCAGAATGGAGCTGGTCACAAAGAGCGTGTGCACGCAGAGCTGCTTGCCATGATGGTTCATTGCATGTTGCCGTGCTGCTGAGGCAGGGCTCCAACATGGAGCTATCGGTGGAGCGAGCGCAGCGAAGGGAGCAGGCGAGAGTGCTTCCACTTCAGTCCTTTTGCGGCTGGGGCTGCAGTACCAGACGTGTTCGCCCTCCAAGCACTGGTATTCAAAGGCAGTGCTCATGTCGGATTTAGATCATATTGGTTCCTGCTGTGCATGCTGGGCACATGCTGGTGCTTGAAACTGCTGCTGCGAAGGGCGGTGGATTGGAGTGTAGATTGAACTGGCTGCCATGTGCGAACATGACTTGCAGGCCCTTTCCCTGTGCACAGACTCGCTTCTCGCGCCACTTGGATCGAACAGCGGCTTCTCCCAAGTCTGCGAATTGTTTGGACACGCCTCAGGACGGATTCGCCGACAATTTCTATTTCTTTCTCACAGAGCTGGCCATTGCAGGACAGACAGTGATGGCGAGCAAAGCTGAAGTGGCAATGAGCCTGTGAGAGGAGCCGTTTCACGTCCTGAACAGCCCAGCCAGGGGCGCAGTGGAACGTCCGTACATCACCTTGCGCGACGTGGGGGAGGCACTTCAGGAGCTGCAAGCTGGCACATGTGAAGCTCGCACTGGCGCTGTAGCGACGTGTTCGACGCGGCAGCGAGGCCGCCATTGACAGCTGGTCCTCAACCGAGACTTCGCCGCGTCTTGCCTGGACTTAGTACCATCTCTGCGCAAGCACTTGTAAAGAGAAAACGCATGTGAACTGAGATAGGAAGGGAGGTCCTTGGGGCAGCGGGTGGTTGGGCTCGGCAATACCCCCTAACTCTCCCTCTCCGGTGTGTAACAAGAAATCATGTTGCGCGTGTTGCAGCTTGCGATGTCGAAGGTCCACAATCTTTTAGTCACTGCAATTGCAGTAGCACCATTTGCAGTTTGCCCGCCCACCTATCCTATCGTGCGGTGTGTGCTGATGCACATCAGGGACTGCTTGCAGCAAAATAGCCGCAGCCACTCTGTGTTGTCATGCATAGGCAGGGAGAATGCGCGTGCATACAGAGCTGCTTGCCATGATGGTTCATTGCATGTTGCCGTGCTGCTGAGGCAGGGCTCCAACATGGAGCTATCGGTGGAGCGAGCGCAGCGAAGGGAGCAGGCGAGAGTGCTTCCACTTCAGTCCTTTTGCGGCTGGGGCTGCAGTACCAGACGTGTTCGCCCTCCAAGCACTGGTATTCAAAGGCAGTGCTCATGTCGGATTTAGGTCATATTGGTTCCTGTTGTGCATGCTGGGCACATGCTGGTGCTTGAAACTGCTGCTGCGAAGGGGCGGTGGATTGGAGTGTAGATTGAACAGCCTGCCATGTGCGAACATGACGTGCAGGCCCTTTCCCTGTGCACAGACTCGCTTCTCGCGCCACTTGGATCGAACAGCGGCGTCTCCCAAGTCTGCGAATTGTTTGGACACGCCTCAGGACGGATTCGCCGACAATTTCTACTTCTTTCTCACAGAGCTGGCCATTGCAGGACAGACAGTGATGGCGAGCAAAGCTGAAGTGGCAATGCGCCTGTGAGAGGAGCCGTTTCACGTCCTGAACAGCCCAGCCAGGGGCGCAGTGGAACGTCCGTACATCACCTTGCGCGACGTGGGGGAGGCACTTCAGGAGCTGCAAGCTGGCACATGTGAAGCTCGCACTGGCGCTGTAGCGACGTGTTCGACGCGGCAGCGAGGCCGCCATTGACAGCTGGTCCTCAACCGAGACTTCGCCGCATCTTGCCTGGACTTAGTACCATCTCTGCGCAAGCACTTGTAAAGAAAAAACGCATGTGAACTGAGATAGGAAGGGAGGTCCTGGGGGCAGCGGGTGGTTGGGCTCGGCAATACCCCCTAACTCTCCCTCTCCGGTGTGTAACAAGAAATCATGTTGCGCGTGTTGCAGCTTGCGATGTCGAAGGTCCACAATCTTTTAGTCACTGCAATTGCAGTAGCACCATTTGCAGTTTGCCCGCGCACCTATCCTATCGTGCGGTGTGTGCTGATGCACATCAGGGACTGCTTGCAGCAAAATAGCCGCAGCCACACTGTGTTGTCATGCATAGGGCCCTTTCCCTGTGCACAGACTCGCTTCTCGCGCCACTTGGATCGAACAGCAGCTTCTCCCAAGTCTGCGAATTGTTTGGACACGCCTCAGGACGGATTCGCCGACAATTTCTACTTCTTTCTCACAGAGCTGGCCATTGCAGGACAGACAGTGATGGCGAGCAAAGCTGAAGTGGCAATGAGCCTGTGAGAGGAGCCGTTTCACGTCCTGAACAGCCCAGCCAGGGGCGCAGTGGAACGTCCGTACATCACCTTGCGCGACGTGGGGGAGGCACTTCAGGAGCTGCAAGCTGGCACATGTGAAGCTCGCACTGGCGCTGTAGCGACGTGTTCGACGCGGCAGCGAGGCCGCCATTGACAGCTGGTCCTCAACCGAGGCTTCGCCGCGTCTTGCCTGGACTTAGTACCATCTCTGCGCAAGCACTTGTAAAGAAAAAACGCATGTGAACTGAGATAGGAAGGGAGGTCCTGGGGGCAGCGGGTGGTTGGGCTCGGCAATACCCCCTAACTCTCCCTCTCCGGTGTGTAACAAGAAATCATGTTGCGCGTGTTGCAGCTTGCGATGTCGTAGGTCCACAATCTTTTAGTCACTGCAATTGCAGTAGCACCATTTGCAGTTTGCCCGCCCACCTATCCTATCGTGCGGTGTGTGCTGATGCACATCAGGGACTGCTTTGCAGCAAAATAGCCGCAGCCACTCTGTGTTGTCATGCATAGGAAGGGAGAATGCGCGTGCGTACAGAGCTGCTTGCCATGATGGTTCATTGCATGTTGCCGTGCTGCTGAGGCAGGGCTGCAACATGGAGCTATCAGTGGAGCGAGCGCAGCGAACGCTGGGCACATGCTGGTGCTTGAAACTGCTGCTGCGAAAGGCGGTAGATTGGAGTGTAGATTGAACTGGCTGCCATGTGCGAACATGACGTGCAGGCCCTTTCCCTGTGCACAGACTCGCTTGTCGCGCCACTTGGATCGAACAGCGGCGTCTCCCAAGTCTGCGAATTGTTTGGACACGCCTCAGGACGGATTCGCCGACAATTTCTACTTCTTTCTCACAGAGCTGGCCATTGCAGGACAGACAGTGATGGCGAGCAAAGCTGAAGTGGCAATGCGCCTGTGAGAGGAGCCGTTTCACGTCCTGAACAGCCCAGCCAGGGGCGCAGTGGAACGTCCGTACATCACCTTGCGCGACGTGGGGGAGGCACTTCAGGAGCTGCAAGCTGGCACATGTGAAGCTCGCACTGGCGCTGCAGCGACGTGTTCGACGCGGCAGCGAGGCCGCCATTGACAGCTGGTCCTCAACCGAGGCTTCGCCGCGTCTTGCCTGGACTTAGTACCATCTCTGCGCAAGCACTTGTAAAGAAAAAACGCATGTGAACTGAGATAGGAAGGGAGGTCCTGGGGGCAGCGGGTGGTTGGGCTCGGCAATACCCCCTAACTCTCCCTCTCCGGTGTGTAACAAGAAATCATGTTGCGCGTGTTGCAGCTTGCGATGTCGTAGGTCCACAATCTTTTAGTCACTGCAATTGCAGTAGCACCATTTGCAGTTTGCCCGCCCACCTATCCTATCGTGCGGTGTGTGCTGATGCACATCAGGGACTGCTTTGCAGCAAAATAGCCGCAGCCACTCTGTGTTGTCATGCATAGGAAGGGAGAATGCGCGTGCATACAGAGCAGCTTGCCATGATGGTTCATTGCGTGTTGCCGTGCTGCTGAGGCAGGGCTCTAACATGGAGCTATCGGTGGAGCGAGCGCAGCGAACGGAGCAGGCGAGAGTGCTTCCACTGTAGTCCTTCTGTGGCTGCGGTACCAGACGTGCTCCTTCTTAAACTCAAGCCCCCAAGCACTGGTACTCAAGGGCGTCGCATGCTAGATGAAGTTCCTGTCTTGCATCCTGGGCACATGCTGGTGCTTGAAACCGATACTGCGAAGGGCGGTGGATTGGAGTGTAGCTTGAACTGGCTGCTATGCGTGAACATGGCGTGCAGGCCCTGTGCCTGTGCACAGAGCCGTTTCCCGGGCCACTTGGACTGAACAGTGGCTTCTCCCAAGGCTGCGTGAAGCTACATCAACGCTAGCGAGTTGCAGCCTCGTCATGTAATCGGTGACACGCACGAATGGATTCACGAGAGTCCCGCTGTTCCCTATACCTACTGTCTAGCGAAACCACAGCCACTCGACTCTCGTCCGGCTTTGTGATCAACTGAAACTTGCATCATATGGTTTGTTGCTTTTTCGTTGCATTGTTTGCCAGCTGATCCGTTCTGAAGACACAGTCGTCATGTGGGGAATTTGGCTGGGTCGTTAATTGCATTTGTTAAATGATATCTCCGCTGTGATTGAAGCCGCTGGCTTTGGGAGAGTGTCAGGGACGGGCATGCATAGGTCTGATACGCACTGCTGAGATCAGCTGCCACCAGGTTCGACTTATTTCCTCAGCCGAAGTTTTCGCTTCGCCACCTGTAAGCAGAGATCTCCCCAGTTGGGTTCTGGGATGCCAAGGTTCACAAATCGCATCAACGACTTCCTGCCGGCCTGGTGCCTGGTCCATGCTGTTTGCTGACGGGCCCTTTGTAGCAGCTCGGTGTCTTTGTGCCCTTGGCAGCTGTTCTTGTATAGCGACCTACAATCTGGAAGTCACCGGCAGGCTGAGGTCGCGCGCAGAGCTTGGGTGTTGGGGGACGAACAGGTGGAGGGGGGGGGGGAGGGTGGTGGGTGTGGGTAGGCTTGACGAAAGCATGTGTGCAGGCCAGGTGCCGGAGCCAAAACAGATGTTTGGGTACCATCCTTTGGTTCCCTGAAGACCCTATAGATCAAGACGCCGCAGGCGGACCCACCACTAGCTTGGCGGCTTCACCTTTTGCGTGCAAATTAGCCACGTGTCTCTGCTGAGGTTCCAGACTTTGCCGCATATCGTGCTGCCACTCCAGCAAACTTACAGAGGGCTCCGCAGCAGCACAGAGCAGGGTAAGCCCCGGGTAAGCGCTTCGATTTTGTTTGCGCCGCATTTGGAAAGGCACCAATCGAGCAGATCATGATGGTAATCCCGCCAGAGCGGAAGCCAGAGCGGAAGCGATTCGATTCGATGGAGATCTTTTCTGAGATATTTTGAGTTGATCTCGTGCTCAAAGTCGAAAAAAGCATATGGGAGCTGCGTCACAGGGCAGCTGTGCATGATGTCCATTTTCCGTAACGTTTATCGGTTTGGTGTTGCGCGTAGTCGCAGTGGTTCCTCAAGGAAGTTCATGTTGCCAGACACGTGGATCCGAGGTAAGCCTAGGGAGTCTGCATACACACCAGCAAGCCTGACTTTCCAAGTATATTTCACGCCAGCACGTACTGAAGCTTACAAGGCAGAAACAAGCGGAAGATCATGGAACATTCGTAGCTTCACACTCATTGAATAGACTTTCAGTTGGCGGCTGGGCTTCGGGAGCAACGAGACTCCTGTTTTGTTCTGCCACATCAGCTTGTGATTTTGACCAGCATGGTCTTGACCGGTGTTGTGAAGGGGTATGACACTGCAAAGGCCTGCCTTGCACAGCGCAACAGAGAACAGGCATCACGGCTCCCCACACACGTGTGCCTGCAGGGCTTCGGATTCATCGTTCCAACTGGATCCCGCACGGACCTGTTCCCGTTGCTCCAAGTGCCAGCATGCTCTGCGCGGTTTGTTGCGGAAGTATCCTCAGACCGCTTGCGAGGACCTCTTCGTTCTGTGGAGGGATGTTATTGGTGGAACACTGCAGGCTGGAGACAAGGCAGGTGGGGATTTGCTTGCTTGCCCTGGCGTTTGTGTCGCCTTATTCTGTTAATCCTTGGGAATCATGTTTCATTTCCTGTGTTGTAATATCAACCTCATTCTTGTCCCAGGTCACTTTCGACGAAGGCCTGAACGAGCGCACGGGCAGGCCCAAGGCTTTCCGCGTCGCCGGAGGATCTGGACCGGCACCAGGCATCCCGTGTTTGAGACCTGATCCCGGGTGTGGCATGCCAATCTTTCAGTTGCGCGTAGTTTGATGCGCTTAGCGCCGCAGGTGGCAAGGGTGAAAAGGGCAAGAGAGGCGACAAGGGCAAGGGAGGAGGCAACTGTGTCGCAGAGGTTTCTCAGTCGACCACTGCATTAGTATGCCTCTGGCACAAGTGTAATTCTTTGCCGCAGGTGCGAAGCAGTTTCCAGGACGGATTTTGGTTCGCACCTGTTCATCAAACCCTGAACGTAAGGGCCCAGACCCCCAACCCCCACGCAGGAGCTGTGAACGGAGGCTTAGTTGCGGGACCGCATCCCGGTGGGTCCAGCTGCGGCCCTTGCGGCTGCCCGGCTCCTTGTGGCTTGATGCTAGGCGGCTGCCTCAGACATGAATGGAAGAAACAAGCAATAAAAGTTATCTGTTCCGTAGTACCTTAGGCTTATTTGTCTGTCTATCCCTCAACCTATTTGTCGATCTATCCTCTCTATCCATTTTTGTTTCCACATGAGTTCTATGTGTGTACGTAGGTACAGCACTTATCCCGGCCGAGGTGGGGGCTGCGGCCTTGGCGCAGGCTTCCTCTGCATAGCGTAACTTAGTCAGTGTTCTGTATTGCTCTAGGTGCAAACACGGGACAGTCGCGTTTTGTCTTCAAGACTCGGCACCCATGCCAGGTGGTTGTGCAGGCTTGCCAGACGGCATCAAGTCCGGCGTGGTCAAGTGCCTCGTCTTGCCATGAAGACCTTGTGTTAGGTGGTGTCTCAGAGGCTTCGGGAGATTTCTGAGGTTCTTCCACAATGAGAAAGGTTTCGGGTTCATCAAGCAGGATGATCTCAAAACCTTTGGTTTCCAGCTTTTGCAGCAATCAAGACATTACGCGTTCTGTGTGATCGTAGCTCTTGAGGGAGTCTTGACGCTTGGTCTTGCTAGACTTACGGGGCACCTGCCGCCAATGCAACTGCCATCAACTGGCGGTGCAACTGCTCCAGGATCGAAACAGCTGCCCCGCATGCGGAAGGCCATCTCGCGGAGGCGCTCGCTTCACAACAGTAAAAATGACACACTCAGGATTCTCAAAGACATTCTGCAAGGCATTCTTCCAGCTTTGCGTGGACAGGTCTACGTCGCGACGGTCGTTGGCGAGGGTCGCGATGACCATGTGGTCAGGTTGGGCTGGGCGCGTGCCAAAACGCTCACCGCGTGGCAAGAGAAGTTAGCCTCGCAGGCACATCAGGGGCACGTACATCCGCAACGATGGCGTGTGGATTAACGAGCCGGCCGGCCGTGTTTGCGAGATTCGGTCACCATTTGTCGTTGTTGCGACTCGCTGCTGGCTTGTCGCAACATCGCCAGGCGAGGTGCCACGATGTACCGTGACGAGAGTGGCGCGATGCCCAGGAAAGAATGGGCAATGGCTGGGCTTTGTGGAGTCCCCAGCTCTTCGTTAGGATGGTATGGTTGGTGTACGTTTTGCATGCGCCCTGCGCACACTGCTCCAACTGCATGAGTATGACAACGATCAAACATGTGTGTAAAGTAGCGTATAATGTCAGCATGAACCGAATGCCAGGAGATCATGAAGAAGACTCGCAAGCACCGGTTCAACAGAGCTTGACACTGGACACAGCGGAATCTACAACCAGAGTAATTCACACATTAGCAGAACTACGGCAGAGAGTATGGACAAATGGTGCCAAACATTATACTCATAGGCCTGAGAAGCTGCAAGAACTAGTCCGGAACAAGTCAGCATCTCACAGGTCTGATCAAGCAGGTCCCCGTCGCCATCACCGCCATCATCATCATTACCACCATCGTCATCATCATGACGGATGTGGCTGTACTTTCCTCAAACGTCTGCCACCACCTCCACAGCAAACTGGGTCCAAAAACAGTGTTCATAACAAAGGAAGAGTGTGTGATTAGTTTGACAGTCTGACCGAACGGTCTCACTGTCTGCATCTTCCTTGTTCGGTCGACTCCACTGGTGTCCATGTCTGTTTCTGTTTGATATCTATGATGAGGCACTAACATAGCCTTCGGGCGCCTCTTCCAGCCGAACACACAACCACGTAGTGATGCTTCATGTGCGATGTGAAGCAGAGAAAACAGGTATGTGAATTTGACGGCCAGCGTGGTGCGCAACGGTCTTAGGGATGCAAGTTTGATGGCCAGAGGTGGTGCGCGGCAGACTCAGAGCGGTGCGCAATGGACTTGGGATACGAATTTGATGTGGTGCGCGACGGCTTTTGGAATGCCAATTTGATGGCCAACGTGGTGTCCGAAAGACTTCGGGGCGCGAGGTTGATGACCATCGGGGTACACTATGGCCTTTGGGATGCACGACACATCACGACACCTGGGGATGCGAGTTTGACGGGCAGCATGGTGCACGACACTCGTCCCGGATGTAAAGTTGATGGCCAGCTTTGTGCACGACAGGCTTCGGATGCAAGTTTGTTGGCCGGCATGGTGCACAACAGATGTCGTTGCGTTGCACATTTGTTGGCGACAAACTTTGCCATGCGAATTTGATGGCCACCGTGTTGCACAACAGACATCGGAAGGCGAGGTTGGTGGCCAGCACAGTGCACAACAGACTTTGGGATGCACGGCACCTGGGGATGCGAAGTTTTTGGCCAGCATGGTGCAAACAGACTTGGGCATGTGAGTTTGATGGCCGGCATGGTGCACGACAGACTGTCGTTTATCGAGTTTGATGGCCAGTGTGGTGCGCAATATGTGCGACATACTTGGGGACGTCGGGACGCGAGGTTGGGGATGATGCGAAGTTGATGTGATGATGCTGACCGCGGCCGTGATTTTCTTTGCAAAACCTCGCTGCTTCAAACTATGGCGTGCCAAAGCATGTAAGCAAAAGACGGCTGACTAGCGGTTTCCTTACAGAAACGACGCTCGTTGCAGTCCGCAGCGGCAGTCCTCAGTGCAACCGCAATGAAGGCATTGCAGAGGCATATACGGAAGAACAACGTTGGCCATAACAGTAAACGTGCGCAGCAACACATTTCTGGGCGCAACCTAGGCAGGGCTCCTGTTCCACTCTCTGAGGCTGGTGGATCGGGCCAAAAGGCTACACTACGGATGCAATTTGGCTCAACGAGTCTTACAGGTCTTCCCAGCTGGCAGCGCAGCTAAGCACAGCTGAGGTTTGGGCGTGGGGCGCACACACACGTCCCGATGTGCCTCAACTGTGGCACATCCCTGTCGCAGCAAAAAAGGCCACGTGTGTTGGGGAGTGTGGTCCAGTGCGTCCTAAGATGTCCCAACACAGCTTTCCGATGTCAGGTCCGCTCTTGCTTCCGGATGACCCCGAAGGTGCTTCAGCTCAGTGATTACCTTTCGTGCGGACCCGAGCTTTGGTACCCCGGCCCCCATCCTCGCAAAACCGATGGATCAGCTCAGCTTCCATGCTCTGCGCCGTAAGGTCGGGGTCCAGCGAGCGGAGCTTAGCTCCATCAAAGTGATTTCTTTTCATCGGTAGGACGCACAGAAGTCTGCTGGCATTTTTCGTTGGCACAGGCATCCGGCGACAGTCCCCCCCCACCAGCCCCCTTGTGCGGATCCCAGTTCAAACACCGTGCTCTGCTGACCACCCTATGGTGTGGCGTCTCTGGAATGAGATTGGCAGACTAATGCAGACTAGTGACGAGGGTGTGAGCCCCCTCAATGCGCAACCGAATCGCAGGGTGGCGGGGGAATGCCGGCGCGAATGCTGATGGCGAAACGCCAGGCTTCAACAACAAAAGTGCAATTTGTGCGGGAGTCGGCGTGCAAAGGGTGTCCAGCCGTTGCAGGAGGTGGCCGACATCTTCCAGAGCAGGCGGCACAAAGCACCATCCGATCTCAAGAGGCACACTTCCAGAAAGCCCGATGCTGCCAGGGCTGAAAGGACCATCATTGTGGACGTCCGCACGTCAGACACCATTGACGCGGCGAACACCAAAATTCAGGACCTATCTCCGTAGTTTCTCTTCGCAGAATCGACGAGGCGTAGGCTTACCACATGAGGCACAGGGTTGCGTGAGAACTTCCCCGTTCGCAGGAGATGTGGCAGTCAGTAGGTGTTGAGCCTTGGGCAGTTCGCGGACCGGGCACAGTCTGCAGCTCAAGCACTGCTTCGTGTATCATTGCTGTCGCAGGTTGACGCAACCGCAGAGAGATCCACGGATCCACTTTTTGCCACACAAACTGACACATCATCCTAATTTTGAGGCTGGGCGCACTTTGTCTGACTACGGCCTTACGGAGGAGATCCCGTGCTGATGTGCATGGATGTCCGTCATAGAAAGCTCTTGTGGCCGGTGGCAGCACAGTCAAATGGCCTGGTTCGCGGCATCTGAGTGCCTGTGAGCAACATGCAATCAGAGACGAAAATACTTGTCCCGGCACGCCGTGCTTTGCTTGTGAGCTTGCTGGCTTAACTTCAAGTCTACTCGCAAGCTTCAACTGCCTTTCCTTTGAGAGGAGTCCAGCATTCACTTGGTGCTACGTGTGCGCGGTGGCCACTGCCAGGCATCTCGCCCATCTAGTCACCTGCGAGCATTCGCCTTCTTGGACGCCGCTGCATTGCGCGAACCTTGACCCGACCCTTCATGACGTTCATGTTTGCCATTCTACGGGCGGTGTCTCGCAAGTCTCAAAATACAGGAGGCTGTCGCCGAAGTTTCGGGGCCTAGCTGAGTTTCTTAGCAAGCGCAAGATTGAGTCAGGGGGTGTTGGTAATGGGGGCTCTGCCAATTGGGAAGGGTACTGAGAGCTAGACTGCAGGGCAGGGACAGTTTGGAAGGGTATATTTGGGACCTGTTCTTGGAGCTCGCGGGCGTTGTTGGAGCCTTTTCGGACCCGTTTTCGGAACTCTCGAAGGTCCTGCACTCGTGCCGAGGGACGAGGTACGACAGTGTATGCTAGCGCTTGTATCCCTTTGTGAAACATCGAAGGTGTTTCGCTAGAAAACGTCGAAAGGGTTTTCCTCTGAAGCTAAACAGAACGAAGCCAATCTGTTTGCTAGAGTGACTGCACATGGCCGGTGGAATGTGAGCTACTCCGTGGCCATTGTGCTGAAAGGCCCCCTGCTACTGAGGGGCAATCGTCGAGCGCCCACCCAACCCACCCCGGAGATTAGCTAGCCAAAGGCTAGAGTTCTTCTCCGGGTTAACGCGGGACTTCGCCACAACGTTAAAAAGAGAGAAGTTCGTGTTGTCCGTGCTACTGTGTGAAGCCAGTTAGCTAAAGCTAGGCTTGCTACGTACTCCCCGGAGGTGTTGAGGGAGGTGGCGGGAGGATACGCTAGCTAGTGTACTTTTACGGAGCTTTTCAAAACATGCATTTGACAATAACCGGTTCTTTTGCGTCTTCATTCTACTATCAAGAGAACGTGTCTTGTGGATGTGTCGCAGAACTAAACATAACGATGTAGTTGACAATAATAACGTTGACTTCGTTGTAAAATTAAGAAAGAGGCCCCCCCCCCACCACCCCAAGCATGTGAACCCCAGCCTCCGTCCGCAATTGGAAACGTCATGGGTCCTGGATTGGGTAGATAAAGGTCAGAAGGCGCGAGTCCCAAGATAGCGAAGGAAAGTAAAAGGTTCGGCATCGTTTTTTTTGTGAATTCTCCGATTGGATTCTGCAAATGCCCGGGGGGAGAAAAATAGTAAAAGGTTGGTTCTAGGGCGTGCCCCCCGCTCCCCATCTAGCCCCCTATGTCGTTTTCACAACATAGCTCTCTTAAATGTTATTTCGTTTTGTTGTTATCTTATTCACATGTTTATCATAATGTTGGCTAACTTTTGAACTTAATCTATACAGAATAACCTTATTCGTTCTCACATTACCGCACCTCAAACATTTCAACACAAATTTTCATTTTTCATAATTTAATATAAAAAATCCCGCCCCAGCTACCTCGTTCATTTTCACATTTTTCAACATCAGTTTTAGGCATCTTTAACGTTAAAATTGTCTAGGGCTGTTGTCCTTATAGTAGGTTTTTTCAGGTTTATTATTTAGTCATCTATTCCTCTATTGTTGAATTAATCTTCTACTTCGGTTTTAGAATTACTCTTCTATTTCATTCTCAATAGGCATCAGGTATATAGAAGTTAGCGTAGGAAACAAGAATTGTTGTTGGTCTGATTTGAAGTTACATGAACTAAACAAAAGAACATTTCATTCTGATAAGTATGACCCGACATGAGCGGGCAAATTTATAGAATTACCTAGGTGGGTTTCTTTTTCAAAGGTTTGCATTAACATTCAAAACAATGATGAAGCTTGTTTTAAATGCTGTGTTTTATGCAACTTTTTGATTTATATAAAAGGACTATCAATGTATGATTGTATGAATAACTTTAACAAGTTCAACGAAACAGAACTCCTTAGTAAAAAAGAGGTTTACAGTCGGTTAGTTGAAGAAGAGAGCCATGTTTTACGATCCCACCCTCCCCACTAACAGTCAAAAAAAGGTTCCTTATATACTACACAGGCAGAAATGAGCACCAGGGTTTGAAGGCCCCATTGGATGAAATCTTAGCAACCTGATCGCGCTTTCAGAAACATTCACCGTGGTACTGGCGTCGCTTGGGGCTTGGGCTTGGTCAAAGCTGATTTGGCTTCTGGAATGTGGGTCTCAGGGTTTTTGTGTTTCGGACCAGGGGTTGGAGTTTAGGGCATGCTTGTCTCAGTGTCCGGACGTGGGGCTCAAGGCCTGGGGTTTCCGGGTCTGTGCGGAAGAAGCCTAGGCTAGGCCCGCAGGAATCGCAAACTCGGGCTGTTTCGCTCTCGGTAGTTTGGGGTGGGGCGCGCGGCTGCCGGGTCTGTCCAGAAGAAGCACAGGCTGCAGCTGGGCAAGCGCGGGCTGCACGTCGAAGCAGTCCGGAAGGACAATCATGAGCACAATCTCGAGCACCAGAAGAAGCACAATCATGAGCACAATCTGGAGCACCGGAAAAAGGACAATCGTGAGCACCAGAAAAAGCACAATCTCGAGCACCAGAAAAAGCACAATCATGAGCACAATCTTGACACCAGAAAAAGCACAATCATGAGCACAATCTGGAGCACCAGAAAAAGCACAATTATGAGCACAATCTGGAGCACCAGCAAAAGCACAATCATGAGCACAATCTTGAGCACCAGCAAAAGCACAATCGCGAGCACAATCTCGAGCACCAGAAAAAGCACAAGAAAGAGCACTAGCGAAATTGGCCAAAAGTTCCAAAAGTCTGATTGAGGCAGTGTGAGTAATTGAAACTGGTCAAACTGGCCAGGGTCCTGGCCGGGGAGCTCCGGCAGGCAGGCAACTCCAACAAAGCCCCTCAGCAACGCCCCTCAACAAAGATTTGCAGTAACAGGTTGGGGGCGTTAAACTCGTCGTTACAGCCAATGCCTGGATCCTGACTGAAGCCGCCCAAGAGCGATGCATTCTGTGTTCTGTACCATATCCAGTCCAATGCCAGCAATGCTATGACAGAGATGTGGCCGATGGTTTAGGGCTTAGGGTGGGTTTCGGGCTTGGGGCTGAAAGCCTATGGTTTTCCTGAGGGTTTTAGGCTTGGGGGTTGGGGTTCGGGGTTCCGCGCGAAGTTGATGGGATGCGACCAATGTTTCATTGATTCTATTCCCGAATTGGAGGTTGTGATCACTACCGAGTCTTTTTTTGCGGTTTTGCTGGTGCTGTTTTTTGTGCTTCTGTTTGTGGTCACTGTTAGTAGGCCGGGTGGGATCCCAAGCCATGTTGTTAAAACTACATAGGGGGCTAGAGGGCACGCCCTAGAACCAACCTTTTACTAATTGTTGGGGGGAGGGGGGTTCTAGTTACGTTCTGGGAATTGGATTTTGCAAAAAATGGCGGGGGTGATAAATGTCAGGTTGACATGAACAACAACAATCAAAATGGCGATGATCGTAGTATTGAGTAGGATGAATCGTACTTCTGCCACCTCCACTGTGGCTGCTGCTGCTACTCCACTCTCACGGCCTAGGAAACCCATCTTGCCGTCCTCATTCAAAAACGCCCGGTCAACTTGACCTTCAAGCGACTCATGATTGAGGAACTCAAGAAGGTGCTGGTTAGCCTCTGTACTTCTTGTGGCAAGCAAGATATCGTCGACGTAAACAAGACAAAGCACAAGGATGTCTCTCAACTTTTCGTTGCGTCAACCAGGCTTCCAACCGTGTGACTTCCTGGCTGTCGCGGTACGCGGGCTTGTGCTGTGGCAACTCGTCGAGCTTCATCTTACCTGAAGCAGTCTTTCAGCTTGCTTTTACGATTGATGATAATGCTGTTGACCATGTGTATGTTAGTAAATGCAAACGCCGACAGCAAGGTCAGTGAGGGCAAGTTTGGCCTAAAACCCGGTGAAGCGGGTTCCCAATACAAGAAGTTCCCCAACCTCGCGGAGGTATGATACGGGGCCCCAATCCTGTTGCGGCTGCTTGGCGCAATTATCGTCAGTCATCGCTAGAAGAGAGGCTTCGTGAGTTGATCTGACTCCAAAGTTAATGGCAAGCCTGCGTCAGAAGGAATGCCACTGCAAAAACTGACGTTCTTGGTCTTGAGGGCTCAGCGTTTCAAGAGGTTTTGACCCCAGGATTGTCGTTACCTTCTGTTCTGGCCTGGCAATAGAGCCTTGCTGTGCTGCAGTGTCCTCACGAGAGGTTCATGGACTGCTTGTTTTTTCTCCGGCATACTTCCAAACAGCATCTTGAAGCGCCTCAGGATCGAAACGCAGTTGTTCAACTCCGCAGGCAGGATGCGGGCTATCTTCGCAAGTGGTGTGATTGCACATGGCGTACTATGGCGCCGCCGAAGCAATAGAAGCAGCACTAGTAACAGGAGCTGTGGTGCCAGTGTGGCAGTAGTCGTGACAGTGGGCATTGTAGTGTCGGTCGTGGTGGTGGTGCCGGTGCTGTCGCCGGCAGGAGCAGTGGCGGGGGCGGTGAGGATGCTAGTAGCATTGTTCGTAGCAGTCATAGCACTGATGTCGAAGGATGTTTTTCCATGCCTGCGATTATGGTGCCCAGCTTCTTCTGGTTGGCTGGCCGTCATGGTTAGAAGCAGAAACACCCTCAAAATCTTAGGGAACCCAACGAAATCCTTCCAGGGCGACGTGGCTCGACATTCTGCGGATTACCAGCACCAGCACCAGCACCAGCCACCAACAACTAAAGCAATTGCAATGGATAGCAATAGCAATAGCAGTCGCAGTAGCGGTAGCGATAGCGGTAGCGGTAGCAATAGCAACAACAATGACAACATTGACAGTACCAGTAACAATAACATCATGATCTATCTCCACAACAACACGGGGATGAGAAGCACAATCTTACTAATACTCGCCATCATAGTCTTAATAGCAGTCATAACGTCGTAATCACAATCAGGATGCAATAACTTTAGTAATCCTGATTTCAGCAACTGTGATAGCAATATCAACATCATAAACATAATGATAATCCCAATAGTTTACAACAAGAAGACGAAACACGTACAACCATCATGACAGGCCTGGATGGTCGATGCTGGGCGACCGATGGGATTTCTTCCAACGACTGTGCTCGGCAAGGCCCCCCCTCGCGTCTCGCAAAGCCTACTGTTGTTAGCAGTTGTGCTAGGGTAATTAGACCCCAAACAGTGCGTCAGGACACTGCCGTCTTGACCCCACACACCCAAGAACCATTCCAGTATCACCTGAGGCTCCAAGACTTGATGCGAGCACCTCAGTGACGGGAGCACGATGGGCATGCATGGAAGTGTGGCAAAAGCCCGACTTCGCAAGGGCCGAAATACAAGGGACTATGGAAACGCGACAGCTGGAGGCGGAGACACAAATCACACCCAAAACGGATTTCGACACCGGCGGGAGAAGCACGCGGGACTCTGGTGGGAAGAGGTGTGGCATCGCAAAACACGCGCAGATGACAATGACACCGAGGTTGAACCCAAAGCTCCGCATTGAAGTCGAAGAGTCTCTACAAGTTCGTCATAGTTATATAGTTATAAGTGGTTCGGACTCCTTCGTGCTTGGTGCTCTCAGCGTGGATTGATAGAGTGTTGCACGCAGCCCAAAGCCCAAGACCTGAACTCGAGAAGCACGCCAGCTTCCAGCCGGGCAATGGTAAGATTCAGAATTGCTGGATACTTTGACATTTTTTGGCTATGTCCAAGATGTGCTGTTTAATGCGCTTGCTCCTCACACAGTTCATGGCAGATCATGTGCTACACGCCGCTTTCAAGCATGACTATGCTATTCTTGTCATGGTCAATCTGTTCATCCCTGGTATATCTATACAGTCCGTTACAAATTTCGGCTGTTGTCATACTTGTACCACAGAGGTCGTCATTGTCGTTGCTCTACATGCTGTACTGCCAGGGATGCATCTACAAGTGTGGTCATTGCTGTTCTCACCTTTAGCTTGAGTATATGTCTTCTGCGTTTTCAGCGGCTTCTGAATTTGTTATAACTTACGCCATGAAAATTCGCATCATGATTTTCTGTCTGGTAGATATTCTCGTTACTATGGTTCTCATCATCATACACGGGGTGTTACGTATCATGTTCTATACTCTTAATGCTGCATATATTTTCGTGGTACGGCACAACGGCTTACAATATGAGAATGCGTTGTCTCACCTAATATGCTATGATATGACATGATATCCCAATCACAACTGCCAGCGTTGGTGCCTTCGTTTTTACTGCTGATCACAAGTAGAGTCACGTCGGGAATCTGAAGCTTGTTGTAGCTGATGCTGGAAATATAGTCTTAGCAGACTAGGTCCGATCCCCAACCCCAAAGTCTGCAACCTTACACCTCCTCACCGCGACCTAAGATGCGCCGCAAGAACAAGCCTTGCCCTAGGGCGTCGAACTGAAGGCGGACTGATTGGATTCTGGCAGTTGGCTGCCAATGCTGCCAATGCTTGGCAGCTGCTTTACCTCTCTCTTCAAACCATGCCGGGCTGTTTGCTACTCCGAAGCTTCATATCTGACGTCCGACAGTTCAGAGTGCGATATTCGTACTACTACGATGATGGTCATGGTGGTAAAATTAGCAATGAAGATGATGGCAGCTGCTACTTTTATTGCTGCGGTGGCAGTTAGGACTCCCAGTTAGGACCCTTGCTGCTACGACGTCGCGAAAGCAACTCTACTTGCTGCATCTCTATTTCTCTTCTTTATCTCTGTTGTCATTGTTTGTGTTACTTTACTCCAATTGGTGTTCTCATCCTTTCACTGCAGTTGATATGACTCCATAAGTTCTTGGCAGATATTTGCGGCTCCGAGTCTTTTTTTCGCTATTATGGTCATTGATAGGATCCTCTATCATGAATGCTGTGAGTCACCAATTGCCATGACTGCAAATTTTCGCAGAGCTGCTGCTATTACTTGCTACTGTGTCCTTCGGGTACTGTTGTAAGTAGTGGTCTAAACATCATGAACTCACGACTTTTGTGTTCATAGCCATCATTTTCACCATCATCAGCTTAATCCGCATGGTTGTCATCATGGCTACGAGGGTGCTTACGATTATGAGCTTCATCACCAGCATGTTTGAGAGTCAGTGTTCAGTCTTGGTTATGGTTGATTCTTACTATCATTTCGATGCTGGCTGCTACCGTGAGCTTTCCTATTCTTAGGGGTATTGCTATTATCGTTTCTGCGGCTATTGCTCTACTGCTACTGATTATGGTCTTGCAGCGTGTTGTACATGTTCGCTAAGGTGTTGTTGCATCGCGGTCGATTCTAGCTACTGCTACCTTCAGCAGCATCAGCATCATGGGCATCATCATTAGCATTAAAATTGGCATCATCATTAGAAGCATCATCATCATCATCATCATCAGCATCATCATCAGCATCGCCATCAGCATCAGCATGCGCATGAGCATCAGCATCAGCATCAGCATCATCACAACCACCTCTATCCTCACCATCATCAGGTTCTTCTACGGGTTGACCATGACCATCGCAATTCAACCTACCAGTATCACGACTCACGACGACATCTGTTGCTGTGGCTGTTGTTCTTGTCGTTGTTAGTCTTTGGTTTTGTTTCTGTTGCCAATCTGTGTAGTGATGATGCTAGTGGTCATGAGGGTTGTTGACCTTCTCAAGTTCAAACCAAAGAGAGCCTTGGCATGGTTCGATTCTCTGTAATGACTGCCGTTTCAGGGGGACACCAGTTGCATGGTGCCGTCAGAGACAGCGGCAGAAAGCCTGCCGGCTGTCGTTAGGTTAGGACTCTGGGCATGACTGGTCGATTTCTCCCGGCATGCCCGGTCATCTCTGCATATGCGAGATTTGAAACTAGCATGTTTGTTCTGATAGTGCACGCCAGTCTGCAAAAGACATGCTTGAGAGGGCTTGGTCCCTTCGAGACTCAATTCCTCAAGCGCCTGTGCTATCGTCGCAAGTGCTGGTTTTGGCTCTTCGAACTTGCACCTGTGCTTCAACTGCATTGCATTAGAAGCCTTGTTGCCGGAATGTCCCGTCAGGTGCAGAATTACCCCGAGAGGGCAATCAAAGCCGACCCCCACCTCTTTCCGGGATCAGTTTGTAACGTGCAGGTTTTATCAAACTGGTTGTAACAGTGGTAAAGACAATGCAAAGATTGGCATGAGTTGCCGGCTACTCCCTGATGAAGGCTCTTCCTTCCCTTTCCCTTTTTAGTGGGGCCCCTAGCTTGAGGCACGGAGTGCGTAAGGTGGAAGCTGCCGTCTCCTGCGCAGCGCGGTTCAAGATGATGAAGTAGGGTCAGATCATATACAAGAGCAGCATCCGTGAGGGAGCAATGAAGCACATGCCATTTAGAAGGTTGGGTTCGTCGAATCTTGTGGTGGGAGCCGCTGGTTCCGCCGACGTCGCCTTCATGTAGTGGCCCGGTCGCTTGCCTGTCCGGCCCAGTCGGCTCCCTCAGCCAGCACACCCAAAACCAGGAAGCACACGACACGATGCCAAAAGTTTCCGGATTCTGAGGAAGGCGACCAATGGTCGCCTTGGAGGAGGTTGGTCCGGCTGCCGACTTCGGATCCTTGTGCCTTGGCTGCGGGCTTCGCTTGTGGACAAGTGCGAGGGGGCGCGGGTCAGGGTCGCGGCACTGAGGAGCGCGTTTCTGGGCGTGGGCGTGCCGGGCGTTCCGGGCGTGCCGGTCGCCGAGCCGGGAGCCCACCTCAAGGCACAGGCTCTCCGCGAAACTGATCAAGAGATGAGCGACATGGGACTGCGTCGCAGGCGCCACTGCCGCTGCCCACGCCTGCTACATCCGCCAGGCAAGACTCCACTCCGTAGCAACGGCAATGGAGACATGAGCATCACGGTGCGAAGGATTGGCAAAGATGGCACCCTCAGCAAGAAGGTTGGCTTTAGGCTCATCGTGTCGATCACAATTACAGAATGACCTGAGACAACGGTGCTCTTTTGAGCCTTCGGGACGATGCAGTGGCAAGGATGCTGAAGCAGCTCAGATGCGAAGTGCTCTCGGATGAGGATGGCGAGGTCCCGCGGCCAGGCAGCTCGTTCCCGCTAGAGGTCTGGGTCGTCTCTCGCGTAGGCCCGGTACGTGCAGGTGGGCATTAAAACTCAGCCGGTGCTCTTCAAGAGCCTTGGCATGAGAAGAGGAAATTCAAATGACGCCTCTTCGAGAGAGCAGCACGTGTTGAGTTGTTGAGGATGCTTGTGGAGCTGGGCCACGCGCCCCGGCGAGGGGAAGATGGCCCAGGCCTCAGGCCTCCAGCGTGCTGGCCGATGTTTGCCCTTTTCCCAAATCTCAGCCTGATCTGACTCGCATCCTGACCCCTTCTCAGTCGCAGGAAGACTGCAACGCAACTGAGGCGAATTTATGGTTCAAGTGGTCGAGCAATGCGGTCGAAAGCCGGAGGCTCGCGGTCCCCCCCTTCTCTTGATTCTTTAAGCTGCCCTGGCCTTCCATGCCTTCCCGTTGCAGGAAGTTGTCGCAGCCCTGTCGGCACCCCGGGAGCCGCCTCGAGCTCCCCGGCAGGGCCGGGGGCGGCCGGGCGGGGCCTGAAGAATTGACCTCGCCAGGAGCCCGAAGACGAAGGCTACCCTTCCATGCCGCGTCCTCGCCTGAAGCCGGAGGCCATCCCTTTTTGTGGATTGACCCCACAAAGCGAGAAGAGAGCAAACACCTCACACAAGTCCCATTATGAAGTCCCCAACTTCTGTTTTGGCCCTGCACCCGCAGGGTGTCCTTTGGCCTCAGGATGCGCAGCTTCTCGTCAACCGTCTCTACAAGGTGCCGAGAAGGCCGGCCTTTGCATATCATCGCTGCGTCATTGGCGTTTCAAGCGAATTGCAAGCCGTTCCGGCTATTCGCGGTGTTCGTCGAACTGCGTGAGGATTCTGTAATCTAAGGAGTCGACCACGAGAAGGAACGCGGTTTGTGGCAGCAGAGGTTTGTTTGTCTCGCGTTGGCTACCAGTCAGTCAGCAGACGACGTAAGATGACGAAGACCAAAACTATAGATGCATTCTGGTGAGGTCGACGTGAAATGCCAGTTGCCGTAGCACGGTCAAACGGGGGAATGTGGTTGTCCAACAACTGACTATTGGGGTTCAGCTTAGACGGGATGCGACAGCGAAAGTACGCTTGAGGGCGGTAACGAAGAAGACACAGTCCTGATAGCCCAACTGAATGTGACGTCGGCAAGGCCTTCGAATTCCTAAGATTCGCAAAGTCTTTGCGTGCGCCTGCCCGTCCGCCCCCCCACCCCCGTGTGTCATGCACCATTCTGGCACGGGGTTCGGGTTCTTGTTGCAGTTGAAACACAATCATCTGCTTTTGGATTCTGCCCATTTCCGCCCAGCTCAGCATCTACTCTACATATTGCAGTGAACAAGCTGATAAGACCTTTTTTTTGTCAATTTTGACATTCCCATGTCCTCTTATTCAAAGTTTCGATGAAGCCTCTTGAATCGAAGTACGTCCCCGACCCCCCCACCCCCCCCCCCCACCCCCCACCCCCCCCACCCCCCCCCCAGCCCCCCCTATAACCCTGAACTGGGAAATGTTCCCCTTGTAGGAAAATAAAAATACTAATAATAATAATAATAATAACATATATGTATATATATACATAAATATATATATATATATATATATACATATTTTATTATTAATATTAAGATTGTAACGCCAACGTCCAGCCTTAATTTCTTGTATCTTTGTGTTGTAAAATCTGTAAACCGTCAGGACACTATAAGATTGTAACGCCAACGTCCACGCTTAATTTCTTGTATCTTTGTATTGTAGATTTTGTCAACTTTCTGGACACTATAAGATTGTAACGCCAACGTCAACCCTTAATTTCTTGTATCTTTGTATTGTAGACTTTGTAAACTTTCCGGACACAATCAGATTTTAGCGCCAACGTCCACCCTTAATGCCTCGTATCTTTGTATTGTAGACTTTGTAAACTTTCAGGACACTACAAGATTGTAACGCCAACGTCCACCCTTAATTTCTTTAATCTGTGTGTACAGTAGCTGTATGTTAACTCCTTAGTGTGCACACTAGTTGGTATCTGTGTGTTGTAGATTTTGTAAACTTTCAGGACACTGTAAGATTGTAACGCCAATGTCCACCCTTAATTTCTTGTATCTTTGCCCTGTAGATTTTGCAAGTTTTCAGGACACTATAAGTTCGTGACGCCAACGTCCACCCTGGAATTCTTGTCTCTTGATATTGTAGATTTGTAAGCTTTCCTAAGTTTGTAACGCCAACGTCCACCCTTGATTTCTTTTATCTTTGTGTTGTAGAATTTGTTAACTTTCAGGACACTATAAGAGTGTAGCGCCAACGTCCACCCTTAATTTCTTGTAGCTTTGTTTTGAAGGTTTTGTCAACTTTCAGGACACTATAAAATTGCAGCGCCAACGTCCACCCTTACTTTCTTGTATCATTGTATTGTAGATTTCGTAAAATTTAAGGACACTATAAGAATGTAACGCCAACGTCCACCCTAATTTTTTATTTTTTTGTATTGTACACTTTGTAATATGTCAGAACACTATAAGAATGTAACGCCAACATCCACCCACATTGTGTTGTATCTTTGTATTGTAGTATCTTTCAGGACACTATAAGATTGTAACGCCAACGTCAACCCTTAATTTCTTGTATCTTTTTATCGTAGGTGTTGTAAACTTTCAAGACACTATAAGATTGTAACACCAACCCAACGTCCACCCTGAATTTCTTGTGTCTTTGTATTGTAGATTTCGTAAACCTTCCGGGCACTATAAGATTGTAACGTCAACGTCCACCCTTAATTTCTTGTATCTTTGTATTGTAGACTTTGTATACTTTCAGGACACTATAAGATTGTAACGCCAACGTCCACCCTTGATTTCTTGTATCTTTGTGTTGTAGATTTTCTCTACTTTCCGGACACTACAAGGTTGTAACGCCAACGTCCACCCTTAATTTATTGTATCTTTGTGGTGTACAATTTGTTAACTTTCAGAACACTATAAGAGTGTAACGCCAACGTCCACCCTTACTTTCTTGTATCATTGTATTGTAGATTTCGTAAACTTTCAGGACACTATAAGACTGTAACGCATACGTCCACCCTAAATTTATCTTTTTTTGTATTGTACACTTTGTAATATGTCAGAACACTATAAGAATGTAACGCCAACGTCCACCCATATTGTGTTGTATCTTTGTATTGTAGTATCTTTCAGGACACTATAAGATTGTAACGCCAACGTCAACCCTTAATTTCTTGTATCTTTTTATCGTAGGTGTTGTAAACTTTCAAGACACTACAAGATTGTAACACCAACGTCCACCCTGAATTTCTTGTGTCTTTGTATTGTAGATTTCGTAAACCTTCCGGGCACTATAAGATTGTAACGTCAACGTCCACCCTTAATTTCTTGTATCTTTGTATTGTAGACTTTGTATACTTTCAGGACACTATAAGATTGTAACGCCAACGTCCACCCTTGATTTCTTGTATCTTTGTGTTGTAGATTTTCTCTACTTTCCGGACACTACAAGGTTGTAACGCCAACGTCCACCCGTAATTTCTTCTATGTTTGTATTGTAGATTTTGCAAACTTCCAGGACACGATAAGATTGTAAGGCCAACGTCCACCCGTAATTTCTTCTATGTTTGTATTGTAGATTTTGCAAACTTCCTGGACACGATAAGTTTGTAACACCAACGTCCACCCTTAATTTCTTGTATCTTTGTATTGTAGACTTTGTAATTCTTCAGGACAGTATAAGATTGTAACGCCAACGTCCGCCCTTAATTTCTTGTATCTTTGTAGTCTAGAGTTTGTAAACTTTCAGGACACTATAAGATTGTAACGCTAAAGCAAACCCTTAGTTTCTTGAATCATTGTATTGTAGACTTTGTAAATTTCAGGACACTAAAACATTGTAATGGCAGCGTCCTCCTTTATGTTCTTGAACCTTTGTGTTGTACATCTCGTAATCTTTCGGGACACTATATGATTGTATCGCCAACGTCCACCCTTAATTTTCGTGTTTCTTTGTATTGTAGACTTTGTAAACTTTCAGGACACTGAAAGATTGTAACGCCAACATCCACCCTTAATGTCTTGCATCTTTGTATTGTAGGTTCTGTACCGCTCCAGGACACTATAAGATTGTAACATCGTTCACCCTTATTCTCTTGTATCCTTGTATTGTAGACTTTGTAAGCTTTCACGACACTATAAGATTGTAACGCCAACGTCCACCCTTAATTCATCGTATCTTTGTCTTGTAGGTTTTGTCTTTCAGGACACTATAAGATTGTAACGCCAACGTCCACCCTTAATTCATCGTATCTTTGTCTTGTACGTTTTGTAAGCTTTCAGGACACTATAAGATTGTAACGCCAACGTCCACCCATAATTTCTTGTATCTTTGTATTGTAGATTTTGTAAACTTTCAGGGCACTATACGATTGTAACGCCAACGTCCACCCTTAATTTCTGGTATCTTTGCACTGTTGGTTTTGTAAACTTTCAGGACACTATAAGATTTCAACACCAACGTCCACGCTTGATTTCTTGTGTCTTTGTATTGTCGTACTGTCGATTTTTTATTCTTTCAGGGCACTATGTAGATTGTAACGCCGACGTCCACCCTTAATGTCTTGTATCCTTGTTTTGTAGGTTTTGTAAACTTGCAGGACTCTATAAGATTGTAACGCCAACGTCCAGCCATAATTTCTTGTATTTGTGTGTTGTAGACTTTGTGATCTTTCAGGACACTATAAGATTGTAACGCCAATGTACACCTTAATGCCTCGTATCTTTGTATTGTAGACTTTGTAAACTTTCAGGACACTACAAGATTGTAACGCAAACGCGCACCCTTAATTTCTGGTATCTCGGTATTGTAGATTTTGTAATCTTTCAGGACACTATAAGATTGTAATGCCAACGTCCACCCTTTATTTCTTTTTTTTTTGTGTTGTAAAATCTGTAAACTTTCAGGACACTGTAACATTGTAACGCCAACATGAACTCTTTATTTCTTGTATCTTTGTATGGTAGACTTTGTAAACTTTCTGGACACTATAAGATTGTACCGCCAAGGTCCACCGTTAATATCTTGTCTCTTTGTGTTGTAGTTTTGCGAGCTTTCAGGACACTATAAGATTGTAACGCCAACGTCCACCCTTAATTCATTGTATCTTTGTGTTGTAGGCTTTGTAATCTTTCAGGACACTATAAGATTGTAATGCCAACGTCCACCCTTAATTTCTTGTATCTTTGTGTTGTAAAATCTGTAAACTTTCAGGACACGTAACATTGTAACGCCAACGTCCACCCTTAGTTTCTGTATCTTTTGTTGTAGTTTTGGTAAGCTTACAGGACACTTTAAGATTGACACCCCAACGTCCACCCTTAATTTCTTGTATCTTTGTGTTGTAAAATCTGTAAACTTTCAGGACACTATAAGATTGTAACGCCAACGTCCACCTTTATTTTCTCGTATCTTTGTATTGTCGATTTTGTCAACGTTGTGGACACTATAAGATTGTAACGCCAACGTCAACCCTTATTTTCTTGTATCTTTGTATTGTAGACTTCGTAAACTTTCCGGACACAAAAAGATTTTAGCGCCAACGTCCACCCTTAATGCCTTGTATCTTTGCATTGTAGACTTTGTAAGCGATCAGGACACTACAAGATTGTAACGCCAACGTCCACCCTTAATTTCTGGTATCTCTGTATTGTAGAATTTGTAAACTTTGAGGACACTATAAGATTGTAACG